TCTACGGCCGCCGTAGAGCAAATGTGATTGAGGTTTTATCTGAGCAGATTTGGTATTGGCAAGATCAGAGAATTATCTTAAGAGTGTAGACAAAGTTCGGCTCCTATTGTAAAGGGTATACCATCAGCATTAAATTGCATCAACAAATCGTGTTAGGCGATCGTGAATCCTACACTTCTAGCCAAATTCATTTATTGCAATTCCCTTACTCCAGGCCCGCCGGTTGATATAATAAGATTTATTATGAATCATACAAGACATAATAAAAATCGAGACAGTAACCAGTACCCCACCATTAAATAACAACATAACACTTCAATGTCGACACTTATGTATAGTACACTCCCCTTCATAAGTTTCGCAATCGGATGTTTCCATTGGATAACATATCGAAGCCTGACAATGTTTGTTTCTTAAAGAGAGAATCAGATCTAGGGAGCAGCCGAACAAAAATTGTTTCAATTTTATATATTTCTGGTTTCTGGTCATTCCAACATATTTCACCCATTTTTGAACTTTGAATCCATTATAACTTCACCAATTTATTACATAAAGTGATTCTTTTGGGAGATGTTGTATTTGGGATTGTAAGCGGTAGGTCAATTGTACATGTTGTAATTTGTCACCTCCATAGATCTGATTCTGCCTTTAATTGTGTTCCTTTTAATTATTTACAATAGCTCGGACTTAATGACAATTTTTATGATTTTTATGATCGTTGAGTTTATTTAGCAGGTTTTGATATGTGACCCAAAGGTGAAGGTCACAGGTGAAGGTGACTCAGTTGCAAAACTTATGGAGGGGAGCGTACGCTCGGCTGAGGTCTTAAATGATTAAATGGCAAGAAAGAACAATTGTAATACAAACAGGAAAAGCCCAGGAAGAAGATCCTCTGTATCACAGTACTACCCAGCATGATCCGATACGATAGTTAAGAATAAAACAGGTTTCCCCATACCATGCAACTTTTTGGCAACTTTCTCGTATCAGTTTCGTAATTAAGTCCAAGGCGAACATTTTGATAAATAGAAAGATATTAATCATGGAAGACTGTGCCTAGACTAATTAGATAAAAATCCGATCGAAGTCTGTGGGATTTCTGTTCGTTAATAGCTTTTAATTGGTAACTTGTTCTGTTGAAAGACAGTTCAACATAAAGTTTTACTTTCACTTTTTTCTATGTTCTCAAGGTATCAATTTTTGATAAAATCCAAATTTCTCAAAGAATGTTTACTTGTGAATCCAGCGAAGACAGAGAGGGGTAAAGACAGCATATTTCCTTCAAAAACAGATAATAGTCCGATAGGTGGTTGAACGAGCCGGGCTGAATGATCATTCTATTCCGATTGTATCACCGTGTCACCTATCGGCCCTAAACAAAAACATTTAATCAGCAAAGAGAAACAGTTATAATACTTACTTACTCACAGTTAACCCTAATGCAGACAACGTATTTTTCATTGTTGTAATACAAACAGGAAAAGCCTGGGAAGAGGATCCTCTGGACCAAAGTGCTTCTCTGCTTGATAAGAATTAAATAATTTAATGATTTTTATTATAGCAAATTTCTTGAGATATTTATATCATCAAATTCACTTACTTAAACATTTCTTAGTATTTAGTGATTTCAAATTCGGGGCCAATATACACTGTATACATTATAGACCGAGTTTGTTTCGAAACAATTTTTTCTGAATTTTGATCAACCCATAGAGATTTATATGCAATTTACATGAATAAAATCATCAGAGTAAAAAGTACGTATAACAATTCACATATGTGTTTTATATTTACTAGGTAATCACATGTTATCTAGATTCAATAAAACCACCGTCAGCTGTATCCGTTCGTATGAACTTAACACTTTTCATTTAAAATCATTAATAATTCAAAATCAATTTTCTGAAAAAAATTATATCGCTGCAACCTAACAACATGCAGGTGAGTTATTACATTAGTGGATTATTTGAAATAAACATCATGGTTACCGAATGTTCGAAAATCCAACTACCTCAATTGTCCATGCGTGCGATATAAGCCAGGGGGTTAAAAACGTATGTCTGACGATTTCCGAGGATCTATAAAAGTTGTGCATTTTCGATTTATTGAAATCGAAGGAAAATTCGAAAACAATCACGTTTTCACACGTTATCCAATTGGAATGATTATGTAACAGCAACAGGTATGATGTTTTGCTACTTAGTTAAGGTATGGTGAGTGTTATCTTTGGTTATGGCAGCTGTCGTTCCTCTTGCTGCCCTTTGCAAGAGACCTACAGTTACACAACATCATAAATACACAAATGGGAGATCATTCTTTGATGTAGATTAAGCACATTCAAACTCTAGCGAAAACACATCTGAAGCAACATTTGGAATGATTTATTAATATTCTTCATTATCGGAATCAAAATATATTATCGTCTGGAATAGTTGAAGGTTAGTGCGGCTCGTCGATACTGATTCAGGGCAGAATGTGCGATATGCGTTATCACCCATTATGCCAGCTGTTGTTCGCATCTTCGCACCTTTATCATTACCTTCATCCCTCTCCGGTTACCTCGCCCTGATAATTACAATTAACCATCAGGACTTTATCAGAGTTAGCCTCATTAGCGCATTCTGAATATTTCCGTATTGATGGTTTTGCTCAAGTATAGCAATATAGCAAGTATCTAACTGATGAAAAGAAAGTCTTAGTTATAATAAACTAATATTGCTCGAGAAAAGTTATGGTCAAGTTGTACAGGGAAGTCGAACGAATGCAAATTAGTTTAATGAAATTGACGGCTTCATAAAAAGTAGAGCTATGTAAAAATGTAAAAAACGAGATAATTTTTACATGAACTAAGAAAAAGAAGAGTTTTACACATCTATTGAATAATATTAAGATATCTACGAACTAAACCTGATATGTGAACGTTTTGTCATTTATTTAAAACTAATTTATGACTACTTATATATTATATATTTTGTCACGTTGTAGTTATTTAATATTTTTGTATTTTGTTGTTAGTTTCGTATAGTTTTAATCAATTTTGTAGATGCTACACTTTAGAATATGACCCCTCTTTATCAGTTCGATCAGAACCTAAATGGTGTGATATTCTCAATTTCCAAAGGTTAAGAATGTAATATAAAGATTGCTATATATATTAATAATTAGTCAATGCATTTATATCGCGTGATATCCATTTACTATACGTGCTTATCATGATCATATTTAACAAATATTACCGCCTTAATAAGTATTTATTAAGTGGTTTATCCAAGTACTCCGGTCCTTATCTTGATAAATGCATGTTGTACCAAGTTGGGAAAATTAATATCATTTTTAAGTTAATCGATATTTTCGATGTTGTACCAAGTTGGGAAAATAATATCATTTTTAAGTTAATAGATATTTTCGATGTTGTACCAAGTTGGGAAAATAATATCATTTTTAAGTTAATAGATATTTTCGATTCAACTGAAGAGATCTAATAATGACACAATATTTGACAATTCGATTATCAGGGATAAACGGAGTAGATTATTTTCTTTGATGCAACGATACAGCTGGGTTAAAAAATAAGTTGTGAAGAAATAACATGCACCTCATAGTTGGCGAATTATATACGATCCAACTTCAGGAAAATATGTTGCCGAAAACAAACAAAAATGAAAAAGATTTCCAATACTGTAAATTCTAGTACTCTTTGCATACCTTACAGATGTAAATCAGAGAACTCTGATAAGATATTAAAAATGAGTTCTGCATCGTTATAAAGCACTAGCGATGGGAGTATCTTGTCCTTATACCGTGATTAGTGACCCGTCTCATTTTGGTCAGAACACACATTTTTTTCTGATCATCAAATAAATCCCGGGATCGAATTCCCAAGACTTCTAAAATCGTGTTATTAGGTATACGCCTGAACGATGAAGGGGAAATTGTATTGTGAGTGACGACATCCATAGCCCCGATAGTTATTAATATATTGGGCCTATTTGTAGACAGGCTACAAAGGGAATTCCCAAGAGCTGGAATGCCATGAGACGGAGGGAATACAATTCTTTCTATGATCTTCGGTTACGCTTCATTGGGATCAATAAATCAAGCATATACAATGCGACGTTAAGTGGTTTGCAAGAATCCCATATTGAGCGGAACTATTCAGGGCCAACTAACTACATTTGAAGAGCGCAAACCTCATATCAATAACAAGAATGTTTAGGTATTGTATTTATATATCAAAGGCATACAAAGATCCACATATTTATAAGTGTACAATTTGAACTTAAGCTCCTAAAATTCGTATAATGCAAATTAAGAATGATAAGGCCAATGGCCAATTAGTTTGGAATGAATAAAAACATGTCAGAGAAAGAAGCGAGTTTCATATGTATCCCTAATATTGGTGCTGAATCTGGCTCTTACTCCTTCAATCATGCAATTAGAACTCTTTCGAGGAACACAAATTCATATACCACGACATCCTTGCTGCAAGGGTATTTTACAAGTATGAATTTGAGCATAAATGAAGTCCTTTGAAGAAGGATGATACCACGAACATTTTTGTATTATATCAAAATATGTTTAGTTTTCTAAGAAACTTATCTCTGGGAAACAGTTGCGCATTGTTTAGCTTATTGTGACTTACAAGCTGCTTGGCGAGATTTGATAACAGTGCCTCCATGCGTCTTTTTATTGACTTCAGATTTCCACGAGCTATACACCTCCGAAAGAGCTCTATTAATCGACTGGAATTATTTACAATGGTGTCGACAAGCTCCTAGTTAAGGCAATTTCAATCTATTAATGATTTATCAATTTCAAATAGCTCTGAAATCGAAATTTTTCAAATTTCTTCATTCGGGGAATTGTTCAGTATAATTCTTTGAACTTTTTCGAAACTGATTGGGGGATTTGCTTTTCCTTATGACTGTTAGTAACATTCTTATGATGGTTTATTTGCATATTATTGTTATCTTTCCATTTCCCTGTACTTGTTTCACATACATTTCTTTACTTGATTTTTCATCATCCGGACACAGGGCTCCAAATTCCAGAATATCTTCTTTCTCTTTACCAGGGGGAAGAGGGAGGTATGGCTTTTGGACACCAGCTAAGGAGGATGTGATATTTAGGACAATTATCAAATCAAATCAAATATTTAGGACAATTATAAAATCCTTTTCAAAGAAAACCAGTATGTTAAAGAAATCAAGAATACGTAATGCTTCAGTCACATTTGATCCACGGCGACTGTACGGCGACCGTACGGCGACCGTACGGCGACCGTAGCGTCCCAAAATCGAGAGAAATATGCAGCACAAAATATAGGGATAAGCAGTACGATGTAGATTTTCTACATCGATTTTGTGAAGCTACGGCCGCTGTCATCATATGCCAGTCGTAGAGCAAATTAAATGTGTCATTTTGACAACTGAGGTTGGATTTGAACCTGCTGTATTACTGAACTAAATGTACTATTACAGAACCCTCAAGTGTATCTATATATAAGTCAACATTTAAAGGGGAAATGTGTTTTTATCATAGGCATTTTCATGCATTGTTAAATGCCGATTCATTTTAGGGTTTATGTAACATGTCTCGAATAATCGGAAACGACATCGATTAACTTTGTTCCAAGCCACTGGCAAAAGGAAAGTTTACATCTTTTATGATATCATATCTCAGAAATATTATCGTTAAGGGATGTTATGTACATGTACTCATTGAATGATAACCGACAAAATATGTGTCAAATACATCAAATCGTACGTCGTAATGGCGTAAAATAACGAGAAGGCTAATTCAAAAGGCAATAATTCCAACGCTTAATTCGTACAGTCTGTTTAATCTTTAGGATCATCAGTAGACCAGTTTGAGAAACGATATCTTAACTGTTTCCTTGAGGCTTTGATGTTATTATACGCTGAAGCTGAGCTAATTCACTTACGGTATGTCAGTTAAAGAAATCCGAGAATCCTCTTTTCCGTTCATCTTTCGTTTTTGAAGTTCAATAGCAAATTTTATTAAGCGAATGCAATAGGAAATATAAAAGATTACGAAAAAAATTTAACATTACTATTCAAATCTGCAATTGCTATTTGCAATAGTAATTACAAGACTTACAACAATTTACGTGGCTTTTCGTTTCCCAAGTGCGAGGGGAATGGTGAAAAAGTAAATGATAAAAAGTTCGACACGACATTTCAATTTTGCAAAAGTAATACTATTACGTAAACATTTTACAACAACAACAACAACTTTACGTAGCTTTTCATTTAAGAAATAAAATAGTAAGAAAGTTCACCAAGAAAAGTTCTACACGACTTTTAATACTCAAATTCATGTCAAGGCGAGTCAATCGAAACAGAAATATTTTGTCTTTCACATGAATATTTTACAAAACATTTACATTCTCAAATGTAAAATCATGATCTACCCCGCCCTTTAGCAGCGCAAATGGAACAATTGCTTACCATTATGCAAAAATACATATTATGTTAATTTCCAATTTTGATGACAAGACTCCCCAAACGGGAACAGTACTAAGCATATGTCAATCTCCGAAATCTTGACTTATAAACTTATTGGAAATGAGCCCCAGGGGGAATAGATTGATCCGTCAAACATGTCATTTCTACAAAATCAATGCAGGATGTTGTAATAGCAGTTGGTTCGATATCAATTTTGCAGAAACGTTTTAAAATTGGCCCATTAGGGGCGGCGTATGCACTGCATAGATCTGCACCGTGTTCCAAAATGTACGTGCATTTGTCCTTGACCTCGATTCAAACCCTGATATTGAAGACATACTTTCCTGCCTTTCCTAATCATAAGTTTGATCGAAATTCCCTTTGGTTTGAGGGCAGTCTAAAATGAGGAATACAATTCGGACAGAAGACATGCTGTCAATAACATAAATGTATATAATATTAGCGTATTCACCACAATTATTGATCTGTGACTTGACGATCCAAATGGAATTCACTTTTCTGAGATTTTATTCCGCTCCTTTAAATAGAGCTTTTTTGACTACTGACCTCTGGGCTTCAGGACTAGCATAATTCGAAAATGGATTCCCAATTTATCGATCAGCCAAACTATTGCTCAAAAATTGAAATTCAATATATACACTAATATAAAACCAAGTCCTTGACGACGTCCATAATAAATCATTATAGAACATGTAGGCACAGATCAGGGGCGATCCAATATGGATGTTTTGCCGCGTGCGGGTCATCGTACAAATATTCTGTCAATGCATACCATTTGATTTCAACCAATCCAATGGAAGGTAAATAATCAATAAAGCGAGTCAAGTAATATAAATTTACGTAAGATAAAACACAAGCATGACCAAGTGCACGTCCGATTTGTAGAACGCTCGACATAATATAATAATACGTTTCGACGTTTCTCTAAATGTTCTATAAGAGTGAATTAATCAGGATTTCAAACACTAAAGGAAGGTAATCTTCACAACGGTCAGTATAATAAAACATATTTTGAGGTCATGTTGAGGTCATTTTTTGTTTGATTGTTATTCAGGCCATGCACGCATTTCTATTGAAAAAATGCTGTAATTTTTTGTTTCATTGTTGTTCAGGTCATGGACGCATTGATAAAACTGCTCTTACATTTTTTGTTTCATTGTTACTCAGGCCATGCGCGCATTTTCTATAATAAAAATGCTACAGTTTTTGTTTGATTGTTATTCAGGCCATGCACGCATTTCTATAATAAAAATGCTGCAATTTTTGTTTGATCGTGATCGCATATCTGTTGATAAAAATGCTGTACCCTTTTTGTTTGATTGTAATCAGGCAATCCACGCAATTCTATTGATAAAAATGCTGTAATTCTTGTTTGATTATTGGTCAGACCATGCACGCGCTTTGTGGTCTTGTAACATTTTACCTGTACATCACTTAATGAAAAAAACGAATCAGAAATAAACCAACAAAAAAGTAACATCAGTAATTATTGTACGCCCTGTGAATGCCCGTAAAGCAATCAATAAGAAAGAAGCGCCATTAATTCCATCAATCTAGTGAATGATCTGAAAGCCATGCACGCTCTTCTACTGACAATCAAATTAAGACTGGCCATAGATACTAATATGAGACATTCATCCAATCTTATTCTTCATGAACTCAATTGACTCGGTGGTGTATGCAAAATGTTACTGTGCCTGATGAAGTTGATTATATCACTTTGTGGTTCAATAATGTTCATACAATTGTGCACATTTGAACCAAATCAGGTTCCCCGTGACAGATAAAGGCATTATGTTGTCGGGGGAAGACACGACAATAGTACTGATCAATCAGACAACTGTCACTTATGGCATCCCTATTACATTGGGATAAATCCGATAAAAAACACTGCGCAAAATATGTCTAAATGCAAAGTATCATCTAATTGTATAAGACAGTAACATGGCATATACACTGGAACACTATTACTATCCAATTATAGTTCCATTAAATGAAGCAAGTTAAGGGTACTAAAAATTCCCAAATGGATGTATTGTGGATGGGTTATTTTCGCATTTGTTAATGTACAATGGCCGATTAGCGATTTGGTAATTTGCTAAGACACAACGCGGTTATATAATTGGCCCAGAGGGAATATCGTAGGCCTAAATCAGTGATTTATTTTGCACCCATCTCCAAGCAGAGACAGATATAAACCGTATATTAAGACAATACATTATCGCTGATTGGGGATTGGTACAAATGGGATCCCCATTGCAAAGTCCTTAGGCTGAGGAATTGCCTGTCACTTGAAAGCTATATTAATGTTACATGATTCGTTCGAAGTATCAGATCGATATGGCTCTATGCCCATTTTGTATTGAAAATCAGTCTCCCTTGAGTTGTAAAATAGTCTCACTTGATGATGTCCAAAATTAGATGTGTCATGTTTGATGTACATGGTGGTTAAAATTATTATGGCCTGCTGCGTGATTTACTTATAGTATGTAAAAGGTTTTTGCGTCATGACATTTTTTATAACGATCTTATACTACTTGTATATTCCTTGTAGAACAATATTTTTGATTGCAAAGTCCTATCGTGGCAAGATGTTCAATTGTTTTTAAACCCCTTGTTCAAAAATTCATTGTTAGATGATAATGTGCTAGACAAATGAAATGAAATTCAATTTAATAAATGAAAGTAAAAGTAAATGATGTGATACTTGAAATGAAGTAAGATTAGATACAAAAAATATCCCCATGTGCATAACAGTACTTCAGAAAGTTTAAGAAATGCTTGTTTGAAGAAAGTATTTACTCAATATCCGGGACAGTGTTTAACCTAGGATGAGGAATCCAATTTAAGCCTAGTCACATAATAATAGCCATTTTTACTTAAATTATTTGATTCATATTATTTGTTTGCTATTGTACGGAGCATCATTGTGCCATCTATTTTATCGCATTTCCTTTACTTTATCTTTTCAGCAGATTCCTGAAAAACATTTTACCTGTTCAGCCCTATTTTACAGATTTAAGAGAGACGAGTGACAAAATCTGATTAGGTTTCGGGCATGCTTGGTAGATTATTTGGCGGCCATCTTAATCTTTTGATAAAATGCTATACTTATCACTGTGTGTCTTGATCTTCTTTCAGGGGGTCACTGAACCACCGCCCACACCGACATCATGGATAAGGTGTACCGGAAATACAAACAGGCCCAGTTGAATCCCCAGGTCCTAATGGATGAACTCGGGATAGACGTCTCAGATGGCGAGACGCTGGGCATGGGCGTTGTGCGCAAGGAAATAGACCTAAATAATGAAGAGAAACAGTACCTTCTTGCAATAGAACGTGGTGATATGGCAACCGTTAAAAATTATCTCGACGAAGCTCAGATTTATTTTAATCTTAATATAAACTGTGTTGACCCGCTTGGTCGTACGGGAATTCTGATCGCCATTGAAAATGAGAACATTGAAATGATCGAGCTGTTGTTGCAGTACAATGTTGAACTAGGTGATGCACTTTTACATGCGATAAATGAGGAAAACGTTGAAGCTGTGGAGCTCATACTCAGCCATCAAACCCACAGAAAAAAAGATTTATCGGTAACTAAGCTTACATTATAGAAATTATGAATTTATGACTAATTTGAATTAAGGTATACGTCCGCCTTGTTGTCACCATGTTATTCAATTTAATTTCCCCATTGTACAACTCCTATTTCTCATGATATATTAGAATCTGATACCGATAACGTGAGGTAGTCTCAAATATAAAATGAATTGCATTGTTGATGCATACGTTAATAGTGGCAACTAGAGTAGTCGTTTCTATTACCTTTCAAAGGTGATGTATTTAATTACACAGCTGGATAACATGCAACAGGAAAAATAGTTGATGCTCTATACACACAGCAGATATTGCAAATAAGCTACACTAATAACGCAGTATCATGAACAAATTCGTGACAAAGACATCGTGAAACCGATAATCGACTTAAGTATAATTTGTATAAGTGAGGTATTTCGGTTAATTACAATTATGGGAATTCGCAACTACATCGTTAATAACAAAAGGAAATCACATGTCTTTTTATATACAGTCAAATTTACCAACACTTTTATCCTTTAATACCAGATTATTTTTAATTCTGTCAGTGCCAGTTGCGCAAACTTTTTCAAAAGCTGTCCATTAACTATCTCAACCTCATAACTATAAAATTGTCAAAACTTAATTAGGTAACGCACTATAAAGTTCTAGAACGCTTTTATTCGCTATCGGCTGATGATATGGGCTTTGTGCACTTTTTGAAGTTTAAAATCTTATAGGGATTTCCACAACGATGGGGTTTTTATTTGATGTTATGTATACATATATACTAGGTAAAGTGTTTATTTGGTTTCCTTATATGTTGGCCACCGTGTTCAGTTCTAACTGGCATTTTTAATACTAATACTACATTTCTAAATCCATAACTTGTTATTCACAAAAACATAAGATTAGCACAGTCTTACTTTGTTACACCATTAGTATATAACTACGTATATCTTGATTCATATTAGAGCTCAACTATAACAAAGTGAAAAAGCCGTAGATAATAACATTCATTATTAATCCCACAAGGACAACTTTGAACCTTAATCATTATATTAACTGAATACGTAATTGTTCAATGAACTTATAATCATTATATGCGAATCATCAACTAGGATGATATATTCCATGTTTAATTGAATACGCAGCACTGCAAAAGGCAAACCAATAGAACTTGGATATTGATCTTTTTCCGGAAAGAATTAATAACCAGGGAAAAAGTCGATAAGAGAATAAATCACCTGTGGATTGAACTTTCATTCCTTTGCATCTTCGACAGCTGATATTCAACTAAATGCTCATCGAGGGATTTGTTCGTTAAAGACTGCATACATGTGTATGCATCATGTATACATGAGCTGTCCCTGTATTGGGTATAGTTGTCATATGCATCACAATTATGTCAGTTCCCGGAATATGAGTTACTAAAATTAGAGCTTACTGAATATGAATAATCTAAACTTAAATTGCACATGTATACATTTATATAAAATATAGTAGCATGTTTTATCGATAATTCCCTATGAACTTACTAGAATACGTTTTCTGATCAACTGCCCCAAGTACAAATTATTCCACAATGAGTTAATACAAAATGCCCTAATCTTGAGCTATCCCAGTGTTAATTATTTCCGATCCGAGTTATTCCTACATGAGTTCCAGCTCTATAATGAGTTGTCAAAATGCCGGTATCAATAGACTTGATGTTGATGGAGCTCAGTCCCTTGGGCCTTTTGATTTTTAACATCCTGTGCTTTATGGAACAGTATGCAATGAGTACATTGGTTGCAAAAGAGAAATAAGCTGGTTGACAGAATGTACAGTCCAAAAGATATAAAGATACAATCAAAAATGAAAAAAACAACATCGAGACATCCTAAGATGATTGAAATTTATATTATGTTTTTTCGAGTAATCTTTTATTTCTTTATTTTAGTATTGGGTTTCTGGTTAATTTTATCGATAAAGCATTTTTATGTTTTCGTCCATTACCTAGCTTGTACACCTATGTCAATATCGATTGTTGTTTGTGTTTATATCTATGTATTGTAATATTGAATGTTTTATACGCAAAGTAATTGATGATGCTGATTATAAGGCCTATAGAAAATGCTTTAGCTTTACTCTAGTATTGTAATATATAACTTGCTTCTATTGAAAGGAAAATTGGATCGTGAATACCTTAATGTTTACTTCTGTTTTTCGCTTCCTCCTATTCATTTTATTTATATGATTATGTAGTAATGAAAGGCGACCTATTTATCTAATACGCCACTGCATTGTATTGTATATGGTACATGCTTATCATTTTGCTTTATATATATTATACTTACAGTATGCTTTTTACTATATTACTTATTTATTGATACGATGTTCTATATACAGTGTGATGACTAAATATGTTCCATGAACTGCATCGATTGTTCTTTTTATATTATTATATTACTATGCATGAATAGTATTCGAAACCATATCCAGCATTACCATAACGCTCACGAACTCTTTTATGATACTGTTCCATTCAATACGTGGAAATACGTGAAATAAAATGCAAAATGGGGGTATACTATTCATTGATATACTATGCATATACTCTTTCATATTTATGCTATTCTTTGTATTAGCAACTATACCTTGATATGCACTAATGATGTATTAAACTATATATTGCAGTATATTTCGCATTACAATGTTTGGTATGCACTGCTTTATCTCATCCATTTGTAAAATCCTGAACTATGTTCACTTAAACCATGCATTGTAGTGCATATTCTGCTAAACTTCATTCTAAGTAGTATTCTGTACCTGCGTACAAGGCCACGTGTACACCCCACATTCTGAACAGTATCGCTTACTTCTGACTGTCAACTGTTATACTACTTGTATATGGAATGATTATGTGCGTACCTGCGTACAAGGCCACGTGTACACCTCACATTCTGAACAGTATCGCTTACTTCTGACTGTCAACTGTTATACTACTTGTATATGGAATGATTATGTGCGTACCTGCGTACAAGGCCACGTGTACACCCCACATTCTGAACAGTATCGCTTACTTCTGACTGTCAACTGTTATTCTACTTGTATATGGAATGATTATGTGCATTTGTAGCAGACATCACCTTATGTGCTTTATCTGTTGTCTTCAGGTAATCAGCGAAGACGACGAGGCAAGTATTTTGACTGGATTGATTTGATCTGAGGCGTTTTTTGTTCGCCTTTTTGTTGTGTGTTTTACAAATGCACAGGGTGTCTAAAACAGGACCGAAGAAAAGATTGATTAAATCTGTCAATTTGACGTATTCTGCCTTGAAATTCCATGCACAATTTTATGTACAATTGAATATGAAGAGTGAGGGGGGGGGGCGATTGGGGCATGTTTTGTAAGGTACTGTACTTTTTGACAAAATAGGCAGATTATCATCAATCGTTTGATATGGATATATCAGGGCAGAATATGTGAGATTGACCTAGTTAATCAACTTTTTGGTCCTGTTTTTGGACACACTGTATGTATAATAATCTTAGGATTTTGAAACTTGCATCTTCATATATGATTATGCTCTGAACTCAGACTTTGTATTTTTATATAGGTGAAAATGTTTCTTATTACATATATTGAGTGCAAAATTCAAGCATCTTAATAATTATGTAGTGTCTATATGCCTGCTCATTATTGTCACGTAGTATACCAAAAATATGAAAGATTTATATCGTAACAAAGAATATAAACTTTCTGTCAGTGTGAATCATTTTACAGACACTAATATATAACGGCACATATTAAAGTACTTGTTAACATCGTATGGATACAAAATTAATTCATCCTATTGGCAAGACAAAAGCAACTTGTTACAAATTGTTACTTCATTTTTTTCATTCACATTGTTAAGATATATTTAATAGGTTTTTCTCAAGTCAATGAAATTACCTTCTTGTAAATAGCAATTATCTGACACGACATGTATGAAATATAAAAATTTGAAGACAACCCAAAAATAAGTTTAATTGTAATGTGAAGCTAATGTGACGGGACATTTTTTATTTCAACACTGAAAATCTATTCATAATGATAAATAATTTTGATTAGCTAATGTATCACGCTAATGGGGAGTGAATCAGTGCTCACATTGCTTGAATATGAGATATTGCTTTCATATAAGAAATACTAGCGTGGACTGCGTAAATCATAGTTTTACCCGAGATATCATGATCAATCAAACACCTACGTAAAAATGTATATTATGTTATTTTAGAAACACTTGAAATACATATCATAAGTAATACGTTTTCTACTCAGTCATTAATGCTTAGGCAGGAAATAATATCTAACAGGTGTAAATATATATATGATCCATGCTATTACGCATCAGACTCGAATTAACCAACTGATAGAATACTGCATCTATGTCAGATTAGTTAATATGTGTTACCCAGAGTAGACCCCTTGTAGATTAAGTATTGTGTGTGCCATTTTATGATTGTTTGTATGATGACAGTGTATAAGGATATTCATAAATAAATGCATCTATAAATACATTTATATACACGTCGTAACATTTTATTGTATGATAGGTCGTTCCCATCCCAACACCACAACCATTGATTGATAGCGAGGTGGGTATATTCATCACTTCTGCTAAACTGGTAATACATTGAATATCCATTTGAGCACAGGGTAGTACTGTGATTTACTGAGAACATTAGATTGAAGTTTCTACTTTTAGGCTTGCTATCACATGGTCTTATTATTAATCAGTGCTCTTAACTAATGTTACCGGTTTCGCAAGAGTGATAAATGTCATGTACATGTTCGTGAAATATATGTAGATACCTGATCACATGACCATTGTTAACACAAGTAACAATTTTACAACTTTGATCCTATCTGCAGTCTAGTAGTGTTGTATTAAAATTCTCTTGATGCATTAGTATATCTATATGGAACTATATGTTTTTGTACTATTTGCATGTACTGTTACATGCCCGAAATCAACATGCGAGACATGACAAGATCTTGATAACACCAGATTATAATAACAATATTATTCAACATGACGAATTCTAGATTTTGAATCATCTTTGCATCTCAGAACACAACTGCTTGAAATTTATGAATGGATATTCTTCAGTGCACCTTTGCAATGCTTGAATGAACTATTTTGATGAAAAATAAGGCAATTATGTTCACAAACATCTAAAGAAATTGTTAGTGTCCTAATAACAATATTGCACATATATATTGATGGACTGTGTACAATACGATACTCAATGCTATTTCCTACATTCTTTTGCTGTTGCCTTGTTATTATCGTTGGATATGTATTTTCTCATGAATCTACATCATCCCTTTAATTCGTTGCCATGGCACTTACTTTACAGGACTAACAATTCAAATAAACTCCTATCGAGCTCCTTTGCAGTGATGTATGCTTGTAAAATAGAATAAGGGTTATATGCATGTCAATTTCAAACACATTAATCATTTTGATGACATTAATCAAGTTGTTCTTCATGATCACGAATTAAGTATAACATCCGTAATACAAGCTAATCAAACGTTCATTTATTACTTCGAGTAAAATTGTTCCTGCATTATTGCGGTCAACCATTGTTCTCTTGAAATATTTACATACAATTTCACCAAAGTTTTCTGAAGAATAGATTATTTTTATTTAACCGAGGCAATCTGTACGAAATGTCGAGGAAGGAACTTAGTTAAATTCCCTCATGAAACACCTTGTCAGACACCTTTCAATAATAAAATTTGAACACTCTTTTATTAATTAAAAGTTGTTTAACGTTTCATTGTTTAACAGTTTTACAATTACAACCCAGGCCTTTGTCTTTGTAACCAAATAACTGACATTTTTAGATATTTTCATGTTTCGTTTTAAACTAGCTACTTTTACATATCTGTATATCTTTTCTATGCAAAAGCTATCGTTGTTTGCATTTTGTTCTCACTTATCTAGATGATGTTATATTCTATTTCACTAGGGCTTTCTTGGTGGTACTCCATCCAGTTCATTTACGCCAGATATAACTCCAATAATTTTGGCTGCACACAGGGATAACTATGAAATCATTAAGATACTCTTGGACCGTGGGGAGGTGATACCGAAACCACATGATGTCAGGTGCAGTTGTAAAGATTGTAAGAAAAGCTCCGAAGAAGACAGCCTCAACCATTCCCGGTCTAGGATCAACGCTTATCGTGCCTTAGCCAGCCCTTCTCTAGTCGCACTTTCTAGCAAGGACCCGATACTGACCACGTTTGAGTTGAGTTGGGAGTTGAAACGGTTGAGCCGTTTTGAAAATGAGTTTAAAGATGATTACGAAACGCTCTCTAAGAAATGCCAAGAATTTGCAGTAGCTCTTCTGGATCAAACACGTGGATCAGCAGAGCTGAAAATTATTCTCAACCACGATACAGATGGCCCTGCTAATGCAGATAGTGACCACATGGCCTTGTCACGACTTAAACTTGCTATCAAATTTAAACAAAAAAAGGTATGTGACACAGCGTTATCTCCCGAGACCTTGTATGTAATAAACATATCAGAAATCAATGAGAGTAACACCAAACTCGATGTTCCAAACACCGTCATAGTGATGAAACAAAATAATATAGATCTCAACGCAGGTTTGAGAATGTATCTCACTTTAATGAAATGTAATTTCAACCTTTTATTGCAGTTTGTATCGCATCCTAATTGCCAGCAGCTTTTGGCATCTCTGTGGTATGAAGGATTACCAGGATTCAGGAGACGTCCGACTGCATTCAAATTAATCTGCACGATGGTCGTTGCGTTTAATTTCCCATTCTTATCATTGCTCTACATCATGGCACCCAAGGGGTGTTTTGGGCGACTTATACGAAGACCCTTCATCAAGTTTATTTGTCATAGTGCATCCTACATGTCTTTCCTAGGTAGGATTTCTAATTAAATAAATGAAAGAGAGGTTAGGTTACGCATCCTATTGGTTTATTGTTTCAGGGATAAAAGCAGTGGCCTATAAAATTATTTCGCTATGTTTTAGAGTGAATCGACCATATTATGTCATTGACAAAAGAAACTTTTGAATTCATATTTTAAGTCTACTGAGAGGTTTGAAATATTATATCCATAGTAATTTCCCGACCATTCTAAAATGAGAATCAATTACCAGTTGTATCCCGCAAAACATGTTGCCATTTCTCACCATAGAAATAAAAGATTGACAAATCCAGTAAACCATGCCACATTTTCCGTGTACCCGAACCTCCCAAGTTTGATTTGAATATTCTTATTAACCATATACTTCAAATTGAATGTAACTGAATAATTCAGATTTTGGAATATTTGTATTGATATAATACCTTGTATTCTTTCAGGATTTTTGATATTAGCGTCCCAGAGAATTGCGAGTCTTACTCTAATGATGGATACGGATCGCATGAAAAGTGAAATAAGGGGTGCTCCACCTACTGTTATCGAATGGATCATAATGGCCTATGTAGCAGGTAAAGCCACACCCTTATAACCGAGAAGAGTCTTATTACTATATATTAGAGCTGAGTATAGGTCGGAGAAGCTTCTAAATACACATTTTTCTACTTCCGGTGTCAACATCATGATTTGACCGACATAATTATTTGAATTATAAACATGGTTATTTGTGGGGTTTTATAGACACATACAAGGCTATATTAGTGTTTAAGACATGTAAGTTCTGATTGTACATTAACCATTCTTATGAAGCCAAATTATAGACTTATGAACTAAATGAACAGAAAAGCTAAGAATTTATAGCCCAGCCACACATACCTGTAAATAAAATAAGCAGAAAGGGTAAGTGTTCATCGGCAAACCATGTACCTGTAAATAAAATGAACAGAAGGGGAAAGTATTCATATTATGAAGATTTGCGCTAATAAGAAAACGCAGAATTGCTGTTCAACATAATTGTGGACTTTGTATTGAATAGGCAATCCATAGTGTATTGACGATCACTTGAGATGCCTATTAAACAGAGATATAATACTATTGGAGCTATTAGCGGTGATATATACCCAATTATCCACTTATTCCCTATGTTTAATTAACATCAAAGGATACATTGCAATTTTATTTCTGGTTAATACACTCTTTCATATTGAATAGGATTTCGAGTCAATATTTTTCAACCAGAATAACTCTTTGAAAATTAATTAGTATAAATACTTCAGCCTTCATTCAAAACGGAAATTATTCTTTAATTCATTTGACTTTCTATATTAAACAGAATATTCTGACAGTCCAAAGTGCCTGTGAATGTTCATGATTAATATGTGTTCTAGAACAACTTATGTGAATATATAGCGCATTACATAATATTCAATTCAAACATGCCAATGTGTCTCAGTCAACCATCTTAGGGAATTCAGTGCCTTTATTCAGTACAATACTGAAAAAATGAGTATGTCTCCCAAAACTAGTCTCACTAGTCACTAGCCCCCCCCCCCCAAAAAAAATGTATAGGTACATATTATCAGATTGAACAGATAATATATATTATGATTATATTACAAATTATTTCAAAGTAATAACAGTGAATATGTTACATTTTAGGACTGATATGGGCCGAGGTCAAGCAACTGTGGGACGAGGGGGCCAGGGCATATATCCATGATATGTGGAACATACTGGATTTCATTACAAACTCTCTCTATCTCGCAACTATAGCATTGAGAGCTGTTGCATATATCAAGGTACATTTTAGAATAGATTATACATTTAAAAAAAATGAAGTAATCAATCTTAATGCAAAATATTGACTAACGATGTTAGATTTACTAATCAATAGGAAGCTTATTTATATTTATGTATATGTTTAATGTTCAATACTAAGGTATTACATATTCTGTGAATTCATCCAATACTCTGTTTATAAAATGTTTGATCGTGAATGTAAGTATTGTATTAATATTCGTGTAACTTTCTTAGTAAGAATTATGAGCGATGATTTTCATCAAATTGTGCCATCTATTTTTAATGAGATTTATTGCTTAGCAAGTTTCAATGTAATCTATTCATTGCGATACAATAGTGGATAGTGTATTAATAGTATTTATAGACCTAGTGTCCAAACATACAAGTGACTTATTTTGGCGTCTTTGTCATACCCAATTTGTACAATACCAGTTCAAACATTTTGACACTTCATTTTTATTTTTTGATCGATAAGATTAATTTTCCTGTACGACATATTATATCAATTTTACACACATGCATGGGTTATAATGAATAACTATATGGACATATGCTATTAAAATTGAATAATATAAGTTGGATTAGACTTTGAAAGAAATTTGAATTTATAGGTGCAACAAGAACGCGCTCAAGAGTTAGCAGCATATTTCAACGTTTCTCATATAAATTGGTGGGACGTACCCGTGTGTATTCTATTTGACTAGTAGACAGCATTTGCTTAACATAATACCATTTTGACAAAAAAATGGGATGAACTTAGTTTCAAAATAATGGTATACTCAGATACGTTAAGGCATAACAAATACAAAAACTATGATCATCAATTGTTGTACATTGTTTTCCAATTAAGTTCAACCTATATGTTAGCAAATTAGGCTTTACAACACGTTTTGAAACAACCACCAACGCTTTTTATATTTAGGGAACATCTTGCGAGTTCATAGCATTGATCAGAATCTTGTGATTTTGCAGTAGTTGAATTGCAGTTCATGATAGAACCCCTTAGTCACGACTGTTTGATCAGATTTATTGCCCCAATCTGTAGTAATAAACCCGTTACACTGAATTATTTAGGATGTGTTTCATAGGAAAATTCATAATGCATCTCACACGTGGACGTTGTTTTTATATGTATATATTACACATGGTATTAATTTGTTGTTGTCACATTATCGATCCAATACGTTAGCATATATACAACGTAGGTCGTTCTTAAAGGTTATGACTGTTTGTATCTTAATCTAGAAAAATGAAAATCTTGTCATAAAACTTACCACACTGATGTAAAAAGGAAATATTATGATACATCATTGTACATTTTTTCATAATAAAAGTCATAATATATACAATTATTTTTAATAGCCTACCAATGGATGCTTCAGTTTCAAATAAATCTATAAACAAAATTAGGTTAAACATTCAAACATAACTGATAAAAGCATTCTCGCTTAAGGTTGCAATGAATCAAATACAAAACAAATACATTTGGAAAAATTCAAAGACAACTTCATGTTTCTGCATTAACGTGTCAAGTTTCAGGACAAATATAGGGTCTAGACTTCTGATACAAACATAGTAAATGTTCAATCTGTATTTGTGCGTTTTATAGTGCTCAGTGATAACTGCAAATATCTTAATACAAGGGCCGATCAAAAAGTTTCTTACCGTTGGCTCTCAATTTTATAATAAGAGGAGTTGGAAGCTCAAACTTTAACTTGAGACAGGATAGTCAGTTTGCTTGAAACTGTACGAGTTTCATATAAATTGGTTTATTGGTAGTGACACAAAATCAATTCATATTTTCAATGACAAAGTTAGGTGGAGCAGCGTTATATATAAAATATCTGCTGAGTTGTGGTTCTGGAAATTTACCGACATTCTTTCAAACCTCTCATACGAAAGGCCTTAAACATGTGTTTTTGGATCGAGTGGACAGATATAGGAATTGTGCATGGCAACTGGGGTTGAATATTTTGAATGAGAATGAATATTAGCAGAAAAACTAATTAAACATGATTAAACTACAGTCTGTTGACAGATGACACTACTTAGTGTTAGAAATTTCCAAAACTGCAGCTTAGCACAATTTTTTACAAAAAAACGCTGCTCCACCTAATTCAATCATTGAAAATACGTATTGACTCTGTGTCACTACCAATGAACCAATTTAAATGAAACTCAGACAGTCTCAAGCAAACTTACTACCCTGTCTTATGTAAAAGTTTGAGCATCCAACTCCTCTTATTATAAAATCTAGAGCCAACGGTAAGAAACTTTTTGATCGGCCCTTGTATTATCCAGTATAACATGTGAATATTGAAATATTTCTCAACTTTTACAAAGTGCCTTTATACCTTTATTATATAATATATCGTTTATTCAACTTGGGAAAATAAATGATTTTAATACCATGGACAACAACTCAAGTATGTGGCTTCCCGGAGTTGCTTTATAAGAAAAGCATCATATACTGAGACAGCTAACAATTTATTTACACTTTTAATCTTAATCCCATACTTTTCATATTCCAGGTAGAACAAGAGAAAGCAATTGGTCTAGAAACAGCTAATCTACCTCGCAAGGAATGGGATGCCTATGATCCAAACCTAATAGCAGAGGGACTATTTGCCACAGCAAATATATTCAGTTCACTTAAACTCATATACATTTTCACAGTTAACCCACATCTTGGGCCATTGCAAATATCGCTTGGACGAATGGTGGTCGACATATTGAAGTTTGCATTCGTATTTACTCTGGTGTTATTTGCATTTGCATGTGGGATCAACCAACTTTACTGGTATTATAGCGTCACTAGACAAGACGAATGTCAGCAACCAGAAAATATACAAAAGCAAATGTGTATTGATCAAAAGTATAAAGCTTTATTAGAGTAAGTATTAAATAACTTTATTATCTTTGAATGGATTTATTACCTTGATGAGATATGTCTCAAAATACCCATTAGAAATACCTAATACTTTTACTTGTACATATTCTAAAATTTGATCTACATTTTTATGAAGTAATTTTAATAATATGTGTGTAAACATATTAAATGTATATTAGGTATATATGCCCGTGCTAATGTAAAATATCAACGCTCTTTGCTTATCCCGCATGCGTAATATATATCTCATGCACTTGCCCCAGATACCCAGCACATATCTAGATTCAAAAATGACAACCTCTATTGGATTTGAGAGTAGCGGTTGGTTAGTAAAATACAGAGAGTTTAAATATAGGAAAATTTGGGTAAGTTTGGCACAATGTACACTACCAAATGTAATGAAACTATGGGGATAAATATTTGGGTCGAAGCATTTTGTAGGGCCTCAATTATTAGTTTTTTTTGGGAATAACTTGGCCTTCTGGGTCTTTTAGGCCAGATTATCAAAAATGGGCCTTGAATATCCAAAATGGGTTTCCTGCGCGGAATCTTTTTCTGTTTCAGCCAGTGGGGCAAAAGGGTGTATTGAATGTAACACGTACATTGTCATATCACGGTGATTTATGATTTCGAAGCACTAGCCACTGGATTGCAACCGACCCGTTTATAGGGAAAACCGAAAATTCCAGATATTTAAAGATAATCTGTCACGAAGAGATTACTCCCGTTTTCATATTCAAATGTATACAGTCAATTTACCTTGGCAGCTTTGAAAGTGAAAATCAAAATGCTGCTACTGTTACAACTAAAATACAACTGGTCAACGATTCAACATATATCTACGAATACAGAGTAATCTCTTTTACATTATATGGACATTATTTTAACGTATAAATATATTTTTTTGAATTATCTTGACAAACGTGGAGAACATGACCACCAATTGTTCCTCATTTTGGCGCTGGACTGCTGTGAAAAAAGCGTCTTTCAATCCGGTACTGTGGCTTCGGTATCATAAATCACCCTTTTATAGCCTACATTTTACATGTTCTTGGAAATATTTTACTTGTTACAAGATGCACATCTTATTTCAAACAAATCTCGTATCTGCTTTACCTCTGGTGTTTGAAAATAGTTACAATCTAGTCTTTACTATTATCACTAATCAATATTCTACTTTGTAAAGCCGATCTTGGAATAGGATGTTATGTCATGTTAAGGCATTTTACAGACGAAATACTAAAAACATACTTGGCTACGATCGTTATATCATATATCATATCACTTCTTATACTAACATACAACACACACTAACTCCCTAATGAATTTATTCAGGAAACATAAATGATATCACTTTCATGAAACAATAATACAGTTTTGATTTTAGTCAGAAAGCAGAGTTAATCAAATCGATTGTAAAAGCATTTAAAATCAAATTCTCCTGCAAACACGTCAATTATTGAATCTGATTTTAATGGATTCAATTGCCATACATTGAAAAAGCCATAGTTCTGAAAAATGTAAGAGTAAACATTGTATTCTGGGGATTACCAGAAGAAGTTAAAATGCTGCGCCATTTTCTATTTAACATTATCTAATTTTTCTGTAATGGGCTTCAATTATTGTCTTTAAATATAAAAGCCGGAGTTCTGTAAAACATCGGTTTAAACATTTCTCTCTTGGAACTATCAATTGTAGTTGCGTTGCTGTGCAACTTTTATGTACAAGTTTAAAAGAATATTTCTTGCCACCCACTTTCTGTAACACCCTCAATATGTGCGTCCATCTTGCATCCAAAACCACTGTTTGTGACACTTGTCGTACCACTTTTCATAGCAAAGTTAGTACCTGCACCTGTTATTGCATTGTGTTTGACGCTTTACGTGTTTCTTTCCAGCTTATTTGAAATTATGCAGACACTTTATTGGGCAATATACGGGCTTATAGACCTTGAGCATTTCGAGCTACAGGAAGAACATGTATTCACTGAACTGTTGGGGAAGCTGATGTTTGGCGTTTATAGCGCCATTGCTATCGTTGTTCTTCTAAGTATGCTGATATCGATGATGTCAAATTCCTACAACCATATAACGGTAGGTCACATATATATCGTCACGCATTAATTCGCTTATTTTTATTTGTTTACTTTCAGCCTATTTCAAATTATACAGACATTGTATTGGGCCATATACGGTTTGGTTGACTTGGAACATTTTGCACTGCAAGAAAAGCACGAATTCACCCAACTGCTAGGGAAGTTAATGTTTGGAGTTTACAGTGCAATTGCCATAGTGGTTTTACTCAACATGCTAATCGCAATGATGTCCAATAGCTACCACTCTATAGTGGTACGTATGATGGTGGTTGTTTGATTCTGCTTAACAATCAGATTGTTTGGATCTGTCGGACCTTCACCTTAGCCGCCTTCTTTTAGTCTCAATTGCTTCACAAACTGGTATTTAGTCAGGCACCATGGTCATATGTTTTAAAAACTAGTTTTATTGTAAAACGATATACATAATGTCAAGAAATGTAGAGCGATAACTGAAAAAATATAGTAAATACTGAAATTTAATTTTCAGATAATACTGTAAGAATGTATAACTATAGTATAGTATAGTATAGTAATATGGTTATACATTTTAATTAAAGAGTCGTGATGATGATACGGTATATGGTATCTATATCAAATATATCAAAATGATTTTTGATTTAGATTTCCCTTCAACTTACATGAATGTCTAAAATATATGACCATGTCTTTGTATTTGATCATAAAACACACTAGGATTAGCCTAATTGTACGTCAATTGGTTGCACAGTCAGTTGCCGCTTTGCCCAGTACCATTACTGTATTCAGACATGTGTATAAACAGCTTCATATACATGCTTACTGAATGCATAACAGTGTATATGGCTCACTATTTAGACACAGCTTGTATGACATTACATATAAACACACACACACACACACATGTAAATGCCCATGTGCAGGACATCGGCACAAACACCATTTTGTGTAAAGTGCATGTTTCTATAACTGGAGATAGGTCTACTTTTCATAATCTTGGAGGATTGTACTAAATATATGTCTACGTTTTTAGTCATGTAATGCCTGGGTCACATTTGCTCCCGACGCCCGGCCGATTGAGTATCCAGTTTTGAAGAGAATACTCAATCGGCCGGGTGCCGGCCGATGAATCGGATCAAATGTGACCAAGGCATTAATCAGTTTTATTGCACGCTTATGCAACCCTCTTGCAGTTTACTCATCTATTTTAGATGCAATATTTGGTATTCGTTTGTTCAAATACGTCTGTGAAAGGTGCGGTAGTGTAGCGAAATAAGTTAGAAAGAAAGCAATACCTTTCACATGGCTATAGTTTGTAAATGTATGTACTGATTAAACTAGATTATACTATATATTATATCTGAACCCTAGATATATGGTTACTGGGTATACTAATAACTTGAATTCCTTGATTATATGACGTACAGTATATTGGTCAGCTTATGCAATGGTAATACTGCAAATATGCTACTCTACTGAATGTTCGTTGACAGAAATGCCTTCACTGATTGAAGTTCAATGTTAAAATATGCAAGCATAGTAACAGTTTTGTGCTTCAGTCATTAAATAGCAGTAGTCAACCCATACTTTGAAGTGGCTGAGGTATTAACGGCAGGTTTGTAAACTGTATTTTCAACAGCTGGTAGAACAAGCTTTACGTCCCGACTGAGCGGGAGAGGGAAATCGAATGTTGAATTTTGGACAAAACAAATTTTAATAATAAGGTTTCGTGAAAATCAAAACATCATGCTAGAATTTTCAGACGCCCGGATATGTTAACTATAAATTACTGTTCAAAGAATAAATAGTGTAGGATTAGCATATTATCTTAAAGTCGGTCCAGGAAATTAGGATTATTCCTTGGTCAATATAAATCATATCACCCTGGGACTTCTGGCCCTCCAGTAAATATACATATGTATTATATTGACCCATAGGCCACCGGATAATCCCCATCTTCTAAACCTCAAAAATATATAAGGATAATATGTTCTCATCCAGGTTGTCATCCAAGCGCATGAAAACCAGTTTACTAAACAGCATGTACTTGTTAATCAAGCATCGAGCCAATTGTCATTTATTTAACATGTATTTGTCGAATTCAACCGTACTTCTGAGATAATGTCAGTTGTATTGATATCTAGTTAAATTTATTTTTGTGATGTTATGGTATGGTTATGGTAATAAATCAAACACATCGTTTTATGATTTTCAATACAGGACCAAGCGGATACAGAGTGGAAATTCGCCAGATCAAAGTTATGGATGAGTTACTTTGAAGAAGGAGGTACTGTGCCACCACCATTCAACATCATCCCGACTCCAAAAACAATATGGTACATTCTCGTGTGGTTCAAAACACGTATGTGCCAGTGCACCAAAAAACAGAAGCGCAACAAATGGCAGAGCATACGGGTAGGCATACCTAGTTTCGTTTAGCAATATTAATATATGAATATTAACCAAGAAAAATACTTTACACATATCGACATATAAACAATTGAAAACAATTAAAACTAGAGTTCAATATATTATGGTTGTTTGAGAAATAGTTGATAAATGTATATAATCTTCATATTAGCTATTTAGATCCATCTATATAACCCTCTCTACACATAAATTTACTGCCTTATCTCATTTATATGCTTGAAAAAGCAATAAACAAATATCAACAATTATGAATAATGATGGGGATAGTTTGATGCTTTGTAATCAGTGTTACTACAGTTTTGTATTTTACTGAGACATGTTATCATTGTCAAATCAAATGAAAATACGTGCATCTCACTTTTTAAGATCATGTCTTCGTTTCAATTTTGATTAATAATTTATGTGATAACATGTCTGATTTTGGTTAAAGGTTTGGTGTAATATATATATCAACATGCATGAGTATTGTTATGTGTATATAAATTATACAATGAAGTAAAAGAGAAACCTAGGAGCCTAATATACGATAATATTTATAATAGTTCAACCAAGAATATAATGTAAAATAGCCGTGGACTTGGGTATCAATGTCAGTCTTTGAGATCATGTATTGTAATTCGAATATGCTAGAATAGAAGAATAGAATATAAATGAAGACTGTGATTTTATACAAATTTAAAATAATAATGTTACTGTCGCACATCTGTGTCATTTTGAATTCAGCGGTTAATTCATTAAATTGAAAGCAATCAAATCTTGATCGATTGCCTCAGCTAATTTAGCATATTTGATCCAATAATATTTCTATTCTTCAATTCAGAAACGGTGGTTACTTCTCCTTCGGTGTAGGATTAATTGACCTTTATATGTCTTTTTGTTGTTTCCATTTCCAGGGTTTCGAGTCCTAGCTTGTATATTGTGCAACTTTGCTCATGTCGTATATATATACCTTTATGTTGAGTTCTTGGATAGACATTGGTATGTCATGTTGTATTATTGTATTATTGTATTGTTACAGAGGGTAGTGAAAAAAGTCAACGAACGAGAACAAAAGTACCAGGTAAACTTGGTAGTTTTAGAGGCTTGTTTTAAGTTTGCACCGCAAACCACACACCCTTGCATAGAATCAGTGTGGGGTTTCTTTATTTTATCTTAGTAGGCTAGGTTTTTATTTTGTTTTTTAACCTTGTTGCAGAAAATTGTAAGGAATGTCTCTGAAAATGAAAAACGTTATCAGGTACGTTAAGTCTTGTCCAATACTACATAGTAGTATTGTATATAAAGAGTAACCCAGACCCCTCTAATTTTGGCATAACTTAATAACATGAGAGCATCCATCCAACCCAAACATGATTTATCTTGATCTCGTTATTATGTTCTATTGAAACACTCTCTAGTATCTCTATAAGGTCGTTTCAAAATTAAAGGGATATTTTGGGTCACTCTTAACTTAAATTTACTCTAATAGAGTACCCATTTCTCTTTTTATACAGGTTAGTTTAGTTTTAATAGGCCAAGATATTTTAGCATGTTTTTATTATCAGTGAGGATTTTATGTTATAATTTTTGAAATCTTCAAATTCTGTTCTGAATAGTGCGTTGTAGACCAGTGACTATATATGGCAATATATATAAAATACATTATAAGATGGCCCGCAATATTAGACCTACATATCGTGGATGCAACTTCTGTAAGCCTTCGTATCAATATAAGTTCAAATTATAAGTAGCAAATATGATTTAGTATAAAAACATGTACATCCTAGCTACTTTGAATGAAATCATTAAGAATCAACTAAAATGCTCAGTCAGATTTGTAGTACACGTTATCCATACAGTTGTGTGGTAACACATTTTATTTCCATAAGGAGTAAAATAAATGAAAAAATCATTTGTGAAGCATGTTTCTTTTTGAAAAGTCAAGACTTGAGTTAACTTCATTTTCCAAAAACTGTTGTCATTTGGGCACCATACATATTCGATTTCAGAATGACTGCAACATTTCTCATTAAACCCCAATTTTTAAGAGAATATCCAATTTCAGATTGTGATGCGAGACTTAATCAAACGTTACATCATGCAACAACAAAGGGGAATGCAGACAGAAGGCGTCACTGAAGATGACCTTAATGAGATTAAACAAGATATATCAGCGTTTAGATACGAACTTCTTGAAATTCTGCGCAACAATGGCATGAAGACACCAACATATTCCAAGAACCAACCTGGCAAAGGCAGTAAGCACTTTGGTCATAAAGGCCGATCTGGTCACAAGAAATCTAGAAAATTTATTTTTTGATGACACTTCTGTGGTATTTATGCAACAGTGCAAACCAGTGCCTCGTTTGAAACTTTTTAGACTGCTATGGACAGTAGGCCATCCTACTATGCAAGCTTATTATGCCTTGTTTCATTAGACTATTTATAGAGCTACTACACCCACGTGCTGGCCACTGATGTGTTGACCACCTCTACAGGTATAACCTAGCTAACCAAACTAGTTACTAGGCGTGAGCATAAACATAGGTAGCGTTGCTATACATATGGCTACATAAGGCAACCATTATTGCTAAGCAACAGTTGCTACAGACACACCCATATATTACAAAACCCGATTTTGCCCAAACATGTCCAGTTTTGACTCAACGTGCACAGACTTGCACAACCCAGGCCCGTCTAAACACGCCCAGAACTGTCTTTGTGTGTCTCTTCAGCCGGTAAGCACAATGCAGCTTTCTATTGGGCTTGCTGGAAACCATTTATGTGTCTGTTACTGTCCACTTCAGCATAGTTGGCTTTGTTGTAGCTTTTGATATGTAGTATCAGTAGTTTTGTTGTAATCCGAGAGGGAATGAAAATTTGTTATAAATGCATGTACAACGAAAGAACGCCTGAATTTTGGCATTTTATCATTTTTTTCATTGTGTTATGGTTTCAGATACAATATTGCATTGTGTTTGTGAGAAAATTAATATAAATTCACTTCACATCAATGGGGCCATTTGTTTGTCCAGACAAGTACACGCTTCAAATCAAAATTATTTTTGCACGTGTGTGTCAATAAGACAATATGTTAATAAAGTTTTGACTTAAAAGAAGTTTAAGTAAGATGATGTAAAATGTTCCCAACGAGTACTTTTATTAGAATTACATGATTATGTGTACGGCAAACAAATACCCCTTCAGCAAGTATGTGTTTGCGTCTTCCCTGGCATTGTACTTTTTCCAGTACTATATTATCTTAAACACACAGTCTTCCATTGAGACTTTTAATAGGATAATGAAAATACTATGAATACCTTATTTTATTTTATCTTATTTAATTGACCCATGTTACTTAAATATATTCCATGGGATATAGAATAATAACACTCTGACATCACGGTATCACATCCTCTTGCGTGTTTGCCATCATTTCTCTGTTTGAAACAAAATTCGTAGATTTAATTGTCGGGAAAAGGGGGTATTCGGTGAATCATAAATTGCAAGTTTCGAACTTTAATGTTCAAAGTTCGATAAACTGTTACGTATGTCATATGTCTTGTTTATCAGTTTTATATAACCGTAGTTTATTGTAGGGTTAATATTTAGATCTACAATTAGTAGACTCGTTGTTTTGTATTATGAACATATTCAGAAAAATATTTTATTATTGTCATTAAGTAGAATTTGAAAGTGTTGTTTATAAAAATCAAATGTGATGCATATTGTATATAAGAAAACATATGGGTGTTTCCCTCTTTGTTTTCTATACTTTTTGTGCATATATTCTTACTATATGTTGTGCTTTATCCGTGGCGCGCGGTCCTGGGAACACTTTTATTATAACAGCCAAAAAATGTGAAGTAAGGTTGTCATTGATTTAAAAGGGACATATGTTTGCATGTGATTTGTCATATTGGTTTCTTTCGGCATTTCCAAGCACAAATATAGTGTACCCAGGGCTGAAGCATTACTGCACTCTCACTAGTTGAAGCTTTGCACATACTGCAGTACTTACGATCACGCCATCACACTGCTTCGATGCTTCGCCTAAGACAAGATTATAACATACTCTAATAACAACAATGGTCAACAAATGTTCATTGATGTGCAATGCTTTACATACCCAGTACTTAAACGTCAAGGAACTCAAAATTAAAACTATATTGATTTTTTGTAAAGATCAATTCCCCATTTTACTTCAAACTTTCAAACTTTTCAAACTTTTCCTTTATTCATGAAAGCATTATATTCAATCGACTTTACAACTGGCAAAATTCTGTAGTGTTCTTATACCCTTATTCGATATATCCCTTCTAATGTGTATTAGAACCCAACAACATATTCGTAACTTGTTGGCTTGACTCAATTGTTTTAGTGAAGTGAACCTATAAAACCGATCATGAAACTGAAGCAAATAAGCGATCGTCATATCCTTATATCAGTTTAGTAGATACTGAACGGATAAAACCAATCGCTATATACTGATGCTTTTGTCAATACTGAATGGGTAAACCGATGGTTCCGTGGTTCTGTTTTTTAGTAGATACTGAACGGATAAAACCAATCGTTATATACTGATGCTTTTGTCAATACTGAATGGGTAAACCGATGGTTCCGTGGTTCTGTTTTTTTAGTAGATGTTGAATGAATAAAACTGGTCGTTGTACTCTTGTCTTAGTAGATAAGAAGCAGTCCACTGTCCTAAAATAAGCTTGTTTGTGAACTCCAATGACTTCCGGCAGGGTCGAAAAACAAAAAGGCAGCATTAGTGTGCCAGCACATGGGGAGCAGAAATGATATCATACTGTGAAATAAGACTGATCATGTTTCATAAAATCTTCCAAAATGGCAAGCTTGTACAAATCAATGTGTTTAATGAACAACACATTTTGATAGTCCATCTTGTAGTTCATACTACCATCAAACAATTAATTGCACAAATCGATACATTAACTTACACAGTGATATGTAGACTAAGCTAAAGTGCAGCAGCTACTGATAAAGCATGACGTACAAAAATATTAAGAATGTCGTAATAGCATCCACTATACCTTAAATTCTACATGAATTTGCATGGGTATGCCTATAATATAGCAATGCATACAAGTCAAATGAATAGCAAATTACTTTCCTAGTTTCAATGCTAATACTCTGTTGAATTAACATTATACATGTACAGAATAATACATCATTTGATTGTTTTTAAATTCTTGATTCATGCTCCCTGTCCTATATTATTTATATTATTAGTTTATATGGGTATATATACCGTATGATATTACAATTATGAATTGAATTCATTAATATATGTTTGGCAGGATTAGGTCAAATGTTGTGTAAGTATCTAAGACAGTAATTACTGATATTTCTCTTTTTATTCAAGGTCTCAAAGTTATTAACAGGAGGTCTAACAGTCCACTGGCTTTAACTGTGATTACTGAGTCTTGTTTTGATCTTAAGTCATTTTTACTATTTCCATATATCATTTGCATGACCAGGATCACAATTGACATGGTCAGAATGACCCTAAACATGGTGAAATAGCTTTTCTCAGCTCGCTGAAGTTGTGACTGAAAATAGTTAAAAGTTGTACTTTCGGAAAGAAAACTGAGGAGAATATTCTTAATTTTCCAAAATGTATTGGTTTAAATGAAATGAAGCTTGAAAATATGAAAGATTGTCACAAAGATGGCAATCTTAAAAAGGAAAAAAGATCACTTTTTAAATCAGTTTTTTTTCTAGGATTGAATTCAAATTTTCAAGCGCCTATCATTTGAAACAATATATATATATTCTGAAAAATTCAAAACATTCTGTTTGGTGACCTTTCCAAAAGTACAACTTATTGTTACATTTTCACAGGGCTGAAAAACAATTTCATCATGGTTGGGGTCATAATGATATGTGGAACTAGTCAAACTGACGGAAAGGTCAAAACATAACTCTGTTGACATGAAACCTTAAAGAAACTGTGTTTCATCAAAACCCTATAGTGTTGTGAAAAGGCTCACGAAATCTGAATAAAACGCCTGACATACGGCAGCTTATTTTAGTTTGCTATGTCCAAGTACCTATGTGCATTTGATTTTGAAGTTGAATAATTTTGATTTTGATTTTGAATAGCATGGGCATCTTATATACGGTTTCAAAATTGCAACACGTTGACCTACTCCTATTAAACATGTGTTCATAGTTGTGAATGAACACCATATCTTTGTTACATATAAAGCATATGAAACTACAATCGAATGTTTTCCGAACAAGCTTAGTCATAAGCAGAATGAAGCTAATGATTTTGCACGTTATTTGGCATACAATGGGCGCCCTACCTCATTTTGGTACATCGAAAAGGCAACGAATGTAGGTGAATGTAGGTTACATTTACTTATTGCTTATATTGAAAAAACTCCCTATGACATCATCAATATCAGCAATATAATATATCTTCTTTGATGTACCAAATGGCGACGGGATTTATTAAAAGGGCCTATTATGTTTTCTTGATTACACAACTAACACTAATATCATTCCACCTTGCTCAAATAAATAACAATATTGTGATGAATACTTAAGTTCACTTACAGCATAATATGGCTATAGTGGCTTTAACTCCAAATTTTCCTATAAACTTTACGCATGCTCTAATCTGTACTAAATGGCACTAACTTTCGATTCATTCACACATTCACCAGCTTGCAGACACAGTACAGCTTAGCCACCCATGTGCGTCCATTTGCTTTTCAGGTCGACTCAGACGTAAAAGAAGTCAGATGTCGATTGACCGGATGAAGAAAAACCTCCAAATGGAACCTATCCCCGAAGGAGATGCTTTCAACAAACGTTTTGGGAAAAAAGAAAATGGAAACGCAGACATCAACAAGAAGGAAGAACTGCAAAGTAGACTCTCTCAAAATTCGATGGATTCCAATACATCAGGCAATAGCGAAATGGATTCAGAGAAAGAAATCGACAAGGATAAAAAGGAACCTGAACGAGATAGTTCGGACCAATCACTACAACGTAAAGATGAGGGTCTTGGGGAATCGTTCGAAATACAGTCTGAAATGTCTGATAGTAACAGTGACACTAGGTTCAATGGCAATGGCGGAAGTCGTACATCAATTTATGACACTGTCCCTGAAGAAAAAGAAACTAATGTCGAAGACGTTAATAAATCAGAGCTTAATGATAAGAATGAGATTGACACAACAAAGAGCACTGAGAATGATAGCGGCAATGGTGCCACTGATGTAGAAAGCCCAGAAATCGCTCTTGATCCCAGTAAGTTGGACAACCAAGCATCTGAGAAAGGTGTGGTTGCCAAGCGTGTATCATTCCTCTCCTCTGAGTCAAATAAGTAGTAAGCTGTCGAATCCAACATATGTATATCACATGAGATTGTATAACCGTATACCGATCCCGTATATTCTATTTAATATATAGACGGACATTCTATATATAATATATCAAATTATGAATTAAACATTTATCAAAGGTCATAAAGATTTCACAAACATTGTCCTGACTAACTACGATAAGATATGGATAAACAATAATACTATCAATATCGACATACGTATATTAGATCATTATAGTAGATAAAAGTATTTATTCCGAATTAGACAACATTTCAAAATAAAAAGTCGTCAATGAAAACTCTTCAAAGCATGAAACACACCGTATACTTTTATTCGATTATCAAATCTCTTACAATCAAATAGAAAAACAATAAATCTGAATGAAAAACATAGAAATAGGGGACGAATCACTGTCTAGTTATGAAGTTGTAGTGTAAAAGCATAATACATTATATGAGTGTATGTCAACATATCACATCTTGGTTATAGTGATCATGGTATATTGATAGCGTTCCGGATGGATGTGATGTCAAATCACATATGAGTACCTGATCATGAAGCATTTGTAAAATTATAGTGTGAACAGTTAAAATTGCGACACATACAGTACATTTTAGGTTTAAAAAATATTGACAAGTGTTTTAGAATATTTTGAGACATCGGAAGCAGGGGCTATAAGTATGATTTATAAAACACTTTGCAAAGTATTTACAATTTTCAAGAGTTTACATTTGAAATAAGCTTTGCATTATTTGTGCATCATATGTTTTTCTTGGTCGGGTTATTTTCCCAGTGAAATGGTAAGACAAAACCTCTAAGAATAAATGCTCTTGGTCATATTCATTTTCTTATCAAAACTGTCTGGGACATTATGATGTTTCAGTTGAGCACATACTTATAACAGGTTGGCATGATGTGACATGACATGCAAAGTCATTTTACGACGATATGATAGAATATGCTTAACTCATAAAGCATTATACTTATTATACTATCTACATTATAAGTCTAAGTTATGTGGCGAAAGCAGGCCTTACAACCACGACATTGTATAAAATTTGTATTTGTTGGTATATTGTATGATAAATATTGTTGTTGGTTAAAACATATATGCATGATTTGTGCCATGTAAGTAATACTATCTTGTTAGCCACTATTTTAACTTTTGTTTTAAGCGTAACGTCTCAAATAAACAGTTACATTGACCGTGCAGAAAACATACAATTATCAAAAGATAAAACCAGTGTGTAACATTTTGTGATCATGTGTGTAAATTAACCACGTATCAACGGATTACCCATTTGGAAAATTTTAGAAAAACCTTTCCCAATACCATATTGTAATAAAGTGGCGTTACCCAACCTGTCAAGTCTCGATTTAAATCGGGAGATATTGCGAGTCCCCGATTTTTAATAGAAATGCAGATTTTTCAGAAATAGAACCCCTTTCAAACGACACAGATTTTCCCCTATTTTCAGAAAAATAAAATATATTCTAGAGAGGAGATTTTAATTGTGTGAGACTTTAAAGTGAGGTCATCTATGCAACATAATAATACATCTAATTGGATAATTGGATAAACATCTTGTACATGCATTAATCATATTAAAGAAGCTAAAGATCAAAGCACTTCGCAAAATCTATTTCATTGATAAGCAGTTTGGAATTGCGTTTAAAAGTGCATGATTCTTGCATACGATTTATATTCTACATCCAATGAATATATGTGCTCTATTTTGTATCATACACAAGCGGCAATGAATGTATCTCTGTATCAGTTGCATATCTTTCTCATCCTGAGAACACGTCTCCATGATAATGTATTAGAATGATTTCATAGAATGGATATTTCTTAGAAATATTAGTTAATGAAAACACAGAATGAAATCCTGTGCTCAGGGCTGATGTGAAAAAGTCAGTCCACCCCAGTGAGGATCGAACCCATGACCCCTCGCTTGACTGATTACTATATCATGTAACAGGAATTGTCATATCAGAAGAACAACATTGTATTTGTACATGATATTGAATCAAACCAAGTTGACAGTACTATGGATATATACAAAATAGAACCACTCCATAGTACATGGGGAACATGATTGCATACGTCAAGGGTTGAAAAAAGGCAAAACAAGTTATGAACTAGTACATATTATATAATTTGAGCAGTGGAGAACTAATCCGATGCAAATAAGAATATTATTCATCGGGGAATATTCAGGTGAATTATAGGATGATAATAGTCGTAAATGTTTTGGAACTTGAAAGCTTAAATACTGAGTTAATGACGTTTACTAATTTCTACTATGAATTGGTAAATAACTGCACAAAAAGGATAGTCCAAGATTATAATAAAAGTAATCCAACGATTATATTTAATTAGATATTTGCACAGTGTAGGATGAATACAATGTGGAACTAATTGCTTAGATATAAGATATTTTGTGCAGTGTGGGATTATACTGTGTAGAAATAATGTGTTGGACATGAGATATTTTGCGCAGTGTTAGATTATACTGTGTAGAAATAATGTGTTCAATATGAGATGTTTTGCGCAGTGTTGGATTACACTGTGTAGAAATAATGTGTTCGATATGAGATATTTTGCGCAGTGTTAGATTATACTGTGTAGAAATAATGTGTTCGATACGAGATATTTTGCGCAGTGTTGGATTACACTGTGTAGAAATAATGTGTTCGATATGAGATATTTTGCGCAGTGTTGGATTATACTGTGTAGAAATAATCGGTTAGATATGAGATATTTTGCGCAGTGTTGGATTATACTGTGTAGAAATAATGTGTTCGATATGAGATATTTTGCGCAGTGTTGGAATATGTAGAAATAATCGGTAAGATATACAGATATTTCGCGCAGTGTAAGGTTAGAACCTAGATGTAACTAGTATGTAGAGAGAAATGATGGCATATGCACAGGGTGTAAATTCAGACCTACCTGGAATATTATGCAGATAATCTATATGTAAATGTGTCTATTATGCAGAAATGTGTATATTTTTCTAATACCAAATCAAATGTGCTGTTATTTATATTGGCAGAGATCGAGTATCTTTAAAACGGAGAATCTGTATGTTATTGTCATTTCTTTTGAAACCAAGAAATAAAACAGAATTATTTGATGTTGAACTTATTTTGTGTTTCTTGTGCAGTGCATTTTATTTGAGATAAGCCTGGAAGATGGACGTCTATTAAGTTGGTAGTCTAGCTTCAAGCCCCTGTGACCCCCACAACTCATTCCAAGCCTGTAAGAGAAAGCCTGTAGTCATGTAGATATGTGGGCAAGTGGATTGTAACTAGACTAACATATTTAGTTAATTTACTTAAAATATTACAGCTTTAAAGGCAGAAAACACAATTTCAAACAGTTTTCTAGTGATATCCACAAATTCATTAGTCCAATGACATCAATTGACCTTCAATAATGACGACAGACATTCAATGATTCATAGTCTTTAAAATCAAAGAAGATGATCTTACAAAAACATTGTGTATAACCCTATCTAGATAGTATCTACCCCCTTTTGGCACGATTATCGCAATCTAACATCAGGAGGCAGTTGATCATACACTTCATTCTAAACAGATCGAAAGAAAAGGATAGAAACTGAAAGTAAAACTTTTTATTGAACATAAGGATATGTTGACATGTGATCGTTGAACTCATTCAGTATTATAATTGTCGTATTCAGAAATACCACATAAGGCACTAAACCAATTTTGAAATAAATTAATACATACCCCCTCTCCTTGTCGTAACTGAGCAGGATCCCAGCCAAGAAAAATAAAACTGCTTTCTTATCCACCAGATATATTAAACAATAGTACAATAACGTCATTTCAAAGGGCAATATAGTGAAACATTGGACCAAGGGCCGCAGGCCCAAGGTCTAATATTTCACTAATGACCAGGGCTGAAATAGCAAATTTGAAATGGAAAATCTTACGCACTGAACGATATCACTTTTCCCGGGAAACATAGCCGGGCGGATAATGTCATTATTGCCCGACTAAAGTCATTACGCCCGACACAATATTGCTCACGTCAATATAGCAATTTAAATGCCTTCTCAACTAGCACTAAAACCCCTAAAACAGGCCCTGCACGGTGGTAATAATATTCACTAAATACACTATTAAAACTGAAAATTAAATTGACTAAAAATGTCATTGTAACAAGACAAAAAATAGATAAGTGAAGCCAGTCGTATTGTCATTAAACTTATTTTCAATATGGAAGACGTTCAGAGTTCCTGGACTGATAGAAAGATGGCAACGTAATCGTGTGTGTTGTGTTTGGTCGGATCGGATAGCAAGGAGGATTGGCAGCCATTATTCAAACGCGATGAACAGTTTAGTAAAAACATTTCTATAAGGTTCTCTTTGTACCGAGTATTTCATTGGACGATGAATATTATGTTAATGTCCAACCTTCCTTAGCAGTTCTAGTTTTCAAAATATGAGTAATATTGTTAACAAATTGATCTACGCCAGGCAACGGAGTATCGAGTTTGAATAACGGCTTCCAATCCTCCTTGGTCGGATAGAACGGTGGCAGTGGGGTTAAATTGACCTTTGAGCAGTCTTTTAATCAAACAAAGTCCTCAAATCCAACCTAACCGGGGTGTTGCCTTGTTTTGACTGGGAGTTGACATTGAAGCTAAAACATTTTCATAGCGTTGATACGCACTAATCTACGGCATTACACAGTCAAATATCGAACAAACCAAACTTTCGTGAATCAAGATGGAGCACAACAGCTTAGAATCAATTATTAGCCAATTATTCCCCCATACGTTTTCATTCGATGTTAATATTTTCAATATCGAATACAAATGACTAATTAAGATTTACTAAAATTTATATCCTTTTTGAAGAAACAGTTAATATTTAGTGCCCTGAAATTATGGTCCCTCGTGAATATTTCTCATCTTGATTCACAAGGTTTCAGTTGCTTCATTTTCAGTTAAACACCTTGGAAGTTGAAGATGAATATTTCTATGAATCGAAGTATGATAAGGCAAGTACTATAGACTTATTAATTAGCTTGTCTCCTCATTTATTGTGCTATCGTTGTGACAGAACTGTCTCAAGGAAACCTAAATAACCCTAATAATTGATGATATCTGTCACGAGTAGATGTCGTATTGTATACACCCTCTAGAGTTCCACGAATTCTCATTTTCTCTCCTGGTCTCTGTCAAGTTAACTAAATTGAACAATTGTGGCGGAACGGCCTCAAAGTAGCCTAGTTGGCCCGCTTCTACAGGTCTATAGGTGGGACGTCTAGGCTCTGGGCTATGATAACACCGTTCTCGCAACAAGAAATCATAATTAAGAGTTTCAAACGACAAGATAAATGTCACCTAGTGATTCCTTTTAAAATGAACATGTGACTCAATTACCCAAATGCAAGTAGGTAGTTACCAGTTTCACCACCAGGTGGCTGATTCGGGTCAATTAACATGGCAGGTATATAAGAAAGTTCCCTCAAACTTGAATATTATCAATTTAAGTGGCTCAATTTTCATATAACCCTTATGTGCCTGATACTTATACTAATGAAAATATGTCCAGTAAAGCAAAATATTATCTGTCCACTAAAAGAAAAGATATTTCATTTTTTGTGATTTTATAGCATGAGGTCTATGGGGAATCTCCCCGAGCTAGAAGTCACATTTTCAAAAAAAATCAATTTTTCAAAGTTGATAAACACTTTTTAAAACCACATTTCTAGATGTAATTTTACATGTAGATTTCAAATATGATATTACTTTGACTGAGTTTTGAATTTTTAATGACGTAAATCAAGATTATTTCTACTCGCATCTGGGTTATTGAGGAATGCAGCAAAATTCCGAACATGCACCCTGGCAAATCTGTACGTCATGGGGTATATCAAAGCAAATAAGAAATGTGGTTATGGTCCAAATGAAAACAACACTCAGCCTTGTTGATAATAAATAATATGAAAATAACATATTGATACACATTAAACGATCAAAACGAAAAACACTACAATTATAATCAGTACCATAAATAAGCGCAAAAGGATATCAATATTGTTGTTGACGCTAACATGTACTAGGTCACCATAACCACGATACACTGACGGCCAGCTACTATACTTCTATCACTCATATGTATTCTCTCTACTTTACCTAACCCCTAAAAATGCATAATATACTCTGTTTGTCTAATTGTATTGTTTAGCATATTTTTAAAAGTACCTTATTAGCATCTAACAGTCATCCGTTAAACCATTAATAAGGAACAGACAAATAAAAACAAATAACATAACATTACTAGTCAGCCAGATGGGTTGCTCATGAACGCCAAATGCAAGGTATAGTAGAGTGTGTATTATTGGATTGATTGGGAATATTGGTTACTCAAGTTTAAACAAAATCCAGAGCTCTTGATGTTTACAAAAATGTCAAGGCGAGTCTGGTTTTCACTAGTTTCGACGGGACATTTTATTTTAAAGTTATTTTACATATTTTAGCCACACTGTTGTTCTAGTTAATCCTAAATGCCAATATCACATGTATTTGAGTAAGGATATATAGGGTAACCTGGTTAAGTTGTATACGAACATTATTATTAAATGAGACTTTGTCAGGGATTAAACCAAAAATTACAAGCAGTTGAATTTATATACACGTTCCTAAAGTATAGCGTTTGTGTCTCAAAATAAAGCTGCCTAGAATTGGAAACCCCAAAATGCATCGCTCTGCTTAGATTAAGACAGGTCAACCCATCTTCACACGCTCACTCTTGATTGCAATTGAAGGAATCCGATTGAACGTATACTTTAAAGTCCCCATATAAAGTTCAAACCACTTTGGCTTATATCGTAGTCTTACCCAATGTTATCAAAGTCTGATATGTGAAACTTTTGTTTAACTTCAAAAAGTGGTTTTTAAAGGACTTTTTTTGTGAAAAAATCGTGAATTTATTAAAAACTAACTTTTAGAGTTCACACATATCTTTTATTAAGCCACGATTCATACCAATGCAGCATTCACCCTCGCATGTTTTGTTTGCCGAAAATATGAAGAAAATCGGTCCATAAATAAGCGAGAAATATAACTTATCAGTGCTTGAAAATGGTTCAGAGAAAAATACATTTCAAAATTTTAGTTCTCATAGAAACCAATGGTACAATGATATCTAAAACATAACATATTCTTCTTAACCTGGTTAGACAATCAGCATTGGTTTATTATTGAAATTAGCATGTTTAGAAAAGATTGACATATAAAAAAATATAATTTTATTCAAAAAGTTGTTGCCACCTGAGTGAGTCATAATGACATCACTAATGTTGCAAAATATTTTTGATAAATGAAATGCTCACAATTTTTTTTCAATTTTTTTCAAAAATCTCTAAAATAACTTTTAAAGTCATAACAAATAGTAAATGAATGATAAAAAAATATTTTCAAACTTTACATGGGGACTTTAAATAAAAACTGCAATACACCAGACAGTGAAAACAAATAAGTGTTAAAAATAGGCATTTTTCATGTAATTGAACATAGCTGAAACAAAACGTATTTTTGCTCAACATTTTATGTATTCTAAAATAGGATGCCTTTATCTGAAGTACGTCAGCACACTTTTTGATCGTTTCGATTGTAAGTAGCGTTGATATCTGGCTCCAAAATTGTGAATTTCGGTGAAATTGTCAATGTAACAGGACAACACGCTTTTGAAAACATGTCATATCTCAATAATAAATGGTCGCATCTTTTAATTTTGGTTATGCTGGCATATAGAACATTCATTCAGAGTGTGTTGACAGCACCGGATTTGATCTCCACCTATTACCGAATATATAGACTCAATAAAGTAAATGTAAAATTTATTCTGTGAAAATCGACATGGTCATTAAAACACACCCACGGGGCATTAGGGGAATCCGAGAGCAATAGGTTATATGTGGTTAGCAAGTCCTTGATTCAGTTTATCAGACCATCGTATTCCAAATCGTGATAATAATTGTAATTGAATTATAATGAGCATTATCTGAAAATTTCTGAAAATTCACCATTTTTCTTGTGAAAAACGACCAAGATGTAATTCAAACATGGGCAGCATTCTTGTGTAAAGATGGACACTATTCAAGAAAACATTATATCCACTCTATTTTAACGAAAAGATTTTACGAAATAACCAGCACGACCCCATCTATGAGCGAATATGGTGTGAAACTGTGACAATCGACATGCGTGAAAATCGACATGGTTATACCATTGAACTCAAAGCAGTAAATTAGTCATTTGTATAAATCACAGATGGATTAATTTGATTTTATATGATTATCAATACTCTGATAACACATTTATAACAGTTTTACGGTAATTTACGCATAACGATCAATTGATATACATTGAAAAGATAACAGCTAAATAGTTTTCTCTTTGTTCAGCGTACCTTTTCCATTTTATACGTCTTTACCAAAATATGTTACATGCAAGCAGATGTCAAGTTATTTGGAGCTTACATAAGCATAATTTACCAAAAAAAAATTATTACAAAAATCACTATGAAGACCATTACAGCCCAAAATGTGTCAACCTCTGTAAATAGTGTTTCGTTCAGTGCATTCCCGGGGATTGCTGACTGCAGTCATAAAGTCTATTAACGTTTGGAATCAGTTTCCCTTTCAATGAATGCATCATTCTCAATGGTGAACAGCATAAACAGGCATCTCTAATTTGTAATATGAAAGATTTTATAGCTTTTCAACGATGTTTATTTGCTTATTATTTTTTAATTACGATCTCGGATCTACTACTCGATACATTATTACGATCTGATGTACAATATTCAGTATCCCTTCGTGAAACGTAATTCAGAAAAACAAAAAGTAAGCAATGCTCGAGAATAAAGAAATCAAAAAATCAAGACATGCGGTGCATAAAATTACGTTCCTCATTTAAAAATATCGCCAATTGAACTAGCATTATAGAAACATAAAGCACGAGATACGCATGTGACGATAGAGGCAACAAAAGCAAGATGATTTTTCCCCTCTTCGAAAAATAAAACCGGGGGTAGATCACTAAAAATATATAGACTTCAAGAGTTTCAAAGAAAAACAAAACATCAGAAGAAACAAGTTTGATAGCGAAAGTTATGAGATGCGAAATCAGAAATCCGAAAAAGAATCGAGTCTGACACGAAAGAAATTTGTTTCTCTAAAGCGGAAATTTTAGCGACTAAAACAAAAATCTCAGAATAAACCAAAGCATAGTAATAAAAACACTTCCAGTTGCCATGGAAAATGGTTCTTGTGATAGGAACTTGGATAGGGAGAGGGGGAGGGGGTCATCGGCGAAGCGCTCCGCAGATAATGGTGTCAAGAGAAACGTCGTTACACCAGTGCAGATGATTTTTATGATTGGACTATACGTCATCCTTAATGGACTGGACTCGACATCAAAATCATGTTTCAATTGATAACGGAGACTCGAGTAGAATAAGGACCGGCTTCTTGATTTGGAATATGTTAAAGGGACATTTCAGATCATATCTCGATAGATGATGTTTGTACTCCAATATGACGTAAATGGTTGTCCTGTTGTGATACATGCAGGAAAAACGTCACTACGTCAACCTGCAACTGGTTTAAGCATGCATTAAAAGCTAAACCCAAAGGAAAAATTACTCAAATTGTAAAAACAAGACAAAGAACCATACCTGGTATGTGAGATAAAAAAAAAACAACATATGCCAAGTGTGTCAAAAAATTATTTTGACGACATGGCATCTGTCATCCCATTGTCTTTCAATCTAAAAATGTAAATCTTGGTTTCATGAATCAGTGCGATGTTTTGGTAAAGTTGGTGTTATATTGTAGTAAAGATGTGTTCAGTGCATATAAACTTTGCGGACGTAATACGTACATGTACATATACTTAGTTTATTCTCTTTGACGATATTTTAGAATAAAATGTTAAACACGACAGGGTTTTGATGGAAACTTTTACATAAACGTGATCATATTTGGATACAAATACACACTGGTTGTTTCTCAGTTCAGCTTGTTATATCCTATATCTCGAAAATGTCGATTCGTGAAGTTAGCGGTCCCTAAAGTGAACTTTCTAACTCATTGTCATTTGTTTCTAATTGTCTTGTGAAAATCGACATGCGGATGAATAGTGAACTAGCCAAATGATCAATTCTTCCCAAATAAAACTGTTATCATTTTCTTATCGTCTTAAGCATCATTTTTCATGATCGCATCAATTCATGTTTCAATAGAGTCGACTCTTTCAATTTTATTCAAATGAAAAACAAACTGGAAGTTAAAAATTGAGAAAAACGATAGATTTTATTGGTTCATGTTGACAAAGGGATGCACATCAAAAAGAAAAAGCTTGCAGTCCAAATCCATTTGCGATTTTAAAGGACAGTTAAATACCATGAGGAACGTTCTTGGTTTTTTGAAAATGATGCATTCTAATTTGAATAGCTTGACACATGAATCAGGGCGTCAAGGTGTAAAATCGACATGTTTGAGACGGACCCTAATTTCAATTTGAAAATTCGCCTATTTTTCCTTGGAGTTTACTTTAATGCCTTGGGTAACGAATGTACAAATGTATGAAGATATATACTATATATCTATTTGAAAAAAACATTTTAGGATTTTTTTCACTTTTTAACAAAATTAATTTTACACTTAAGCGGTTTTGAGTGCAGAGCGTGTTTTACAGAAAATTCTGTAGGGAGGTCCACCTCTCCATGAAAAGGAGCATTGTGAGGATTTCAATTACTGCACACAATGTATCTAATAACCATGGAAATAGTTTTTAAACATTGCAATTAATATTTAGACACTTCTTATTCTTAGATAATATGATCCGTTAAGTTTAGTCCACCTTGTGAATCAAGATGATATTACAGAGTATTATGATGAATGCAGTCTTGTATCACTACCTTTTCTAACGTAAATGTGTTTACGCTTCAAATACTATCTATATCTTTAAATCTATCGTCCCTTGCGTACGAGATCTATCGTCCCTTGCGTAATTCTGACGATTATAACTACCATGTCTTTTTTATTGCGACATAAAATATTTAAGTTGTATTTTTCATTTTCAAAAGGATATCAACAAGTGCTGATCAAATAAATAAATATTTTGAATCCGATTCTGATTCGGAGAAAAAAGTTGTCGTTTTATGAAACGGCACTCGTGGGACAACCACATGTATAAAGGTACACGGATCGTGATTGGTCTTTACACTTGTGATCAGCTTGACTCGAATTTATGCTGGCCGGGTTCATTCACTCAAAATAAAATCAGCTGGCCTGGGTGGGATACAATGGATACATGATCAAGCAAGGTAATTTTATATTTTTGTATGAAATAAAGCGACTTCTTTGAAAATGAATTCACCAAATCACATTTTCTAGTCATGAATTTTAGTGTGCATTTATTTCAAATAAGGAACGTCTCATTTTTGGCGGCATTTTTAAAATAATTGTTTTTATTTTCTGGACAAGACTTGAATAATGTACAGTAAAATTTTAAATGTTCGGATCTACTTTGAATTTAAAAAATTAGCAATCAAATGACTTTATTGTAACAGTTTATAAATGTTAAACATACGAGTCGTGTCCTAACTTTTGTATATTTTAGACTAGTTATGTATAATTTGCAGCAAAGCTCTGGCCTTTTGTAATTTAGGGAGCTTCAGCCATGTTAATTTTTTCGAAAATAACATGGCAGAGAAGCATAAAAATATAAGAGGCCACAGGTATGATAGCTCAACTACAAAACAAACTAAAATATACAAAAGTTAGGACATGTATAAATATTTCCCTTTTTACATATTCTGTTTCAATATGGACCTTTAAGGTACAGCTTGAAAATAACATTTTGGGAAAAAAATGCGATACCTGCACATGTTATTTTCTGGTACAAAGTAAAGTATGAAGGCATGTGTGTATTTCCTTGCTTTTTTCTCAGGAAAGTATCATTACATTGTCTGTTTTAGTAAATCTGGCAAGAGTAATGATACTTTCCTGAAAAAAGGAGGGAAATACACACATGCCTTCATACTTAATTTTGTACCAGAATATAACATGTGTATAGCAATTTTCCCCAAAATGTTACTTTCCAACTGTAATTTAATTGCTTATTTTTTTAGATTAAAAGTTGATCCAAACATTTAAAATTCTACTGTACATGTTTTGTTTCGTAGCGGAGTCTTTTCTACACTGATTTTATCGTTCCCATGTAAGGATGCTTGCCCGTAGCCAGAATTTTCCAAAGGGGGGGGGTCACTTTTCCCAAAAATTTCGGGGGGGGTTCACTTTGGCAAATTTGGCCAAAAATCATTTAAAAGATAGTCAGAATGGTGAAACACTGCACGATTTTGAAAGAAATTTTGGCAAGGGGGGGGGGGTTTAGTAAGTTGCAATTGGGAGTTCTCTCTGATCTTGGAATACCGAGTAGCCAAATATGAAGGGATGGATTAACTCAGGATTTTTGCACTGAAAAAACAGATTAACGAGTGACCTTGAATCAAATCGACCATGGCCAACATATAATAGAGTCACTAGCACTTTGAACTAGTTTCGAGACTCAGAAATTTCCTAGTAATTACGATCATGAAAATGACATTAAACTTGAAGTGTGAATGTATTTACATACAATTGGATTGTGATTATACTAAGAGTTTTATCGGGTTACATTGAATTATGCATCGTGTTTATTTAACGTGTTCCATACATGTACCTGTATAAAGTAAATTTTAAGGTAGTTCCGTTTGTTTACAAATTTTAATGGCTTTCAAATTGGAGCGGGTATGTTTAGGTGCGCATAACTCATTATATGCATGGTCTACATTCAGCCATCTTTTACAATGTAGACAATTATGACAATTAAGAAATTCGTTACATTTTTGTCTTTTGATATCAAAAGAGAAAATTCATTGACTAACTGCATTTTCTTAATATGAATGCAGAGGGGGAATAACACCAGGATTCAAATATGACATACGCTTATAATGTAAACCTGTATTGAGATGACATACATCTCTGATTGGTCAAAAGTTGACAAACAAATGATGTCATCAATGGCGGTTTCAAAATTTTCGAAATACGCTTCGAATAATATTATGTTCATTTCTGGCATGTTAACCAATATCATAGCTTTTCATTTCACATCAAGATAAAGAAAGATGTAAGGAATATGTCTGTATCAATTAAAATATAACATCGAAGTGTAGTATTTGAAAACTAGCCGATGAAAATTCGAACGAACGAAGGTGGTAAGCAAGAGATGCAATTATGTCTGTCATCTTTAAAATTCTGCTGATACAAAATAATAAAGGGTGAGTTTTAAAACTAAACAGAGTGCTCCTACCAAAATGGATTTACCTACATACCCCTGAGACTCTTATCTGATAGATAGAATGCACAAATAAGACAAACGGGTAAAAAGTTATCTTAAACTTCGAAGTGATTTTACCTGTTAATTCTGTCATTGGTCCGCTATTTTTACGGAAGTTACACAGAAACACAAACTCCGTGAAACGAAATAAAATCACAAGAAAAAACATGGCACACATTGCGCGCATGCGCATTTACGTTTAAACCAATCAGATTATTTGATTATTTTGCGCACATGAATTATAATATTCCATATTAAAAGCTAACCACAATAAACAAACCTGGCTTACTTCATTTAAACGAAATTTCAGCTCAAACTCTGAACATACGAAACTACCTTAAACATTGAGTACCTCCACACAATAAGTACAATAGTAGTATTCTCAATTCGGGCGGGAAAAATTCGGGCGGGAAAATGCCGCGAGAAACGCGACCAAAAATCTGCTTGTTATTTTTAACAACATGCATACATTAAAAGAGAAGCAGGGAATCCACTTTTAACACGAACTGTCAAAGGTAGGGGATCGGTTATCTGTTCAAACGTTTTGTCAATCGTATTTTTGCAAAAAACAATCCACACCTGATTTGTTTATGTCTCATATCTGTGTCTCAGAATTGATGGAATATGTCTGCAAGAAATTACTGGTTGGAAAACAGAAAAATTGACCCCCTTCCCTTTGTTTGCATTTAAACAAGTTAAACTTTAATTGTGCTTATGACAATATTCAACTGATAACAATTGCATAACTAGGGGAAAGTTTGTATTTTTTGCAGTAACTGACGCGGCTTAATTAAAGATACTAGGCTAAGTTTGAAAATATGACTTTTAAAGAAATTGTTGCTGTTACGCGGTATATGGCATACATTCATGGTTGTGCGGTATTTGTGATACGGGTGAATATGCCATACTCACCTGCGGTATATGCCATATTCCGCAGGTGAGTATGCGATATTCCGCACTGAATATGCGATACATTGATTTCAGTGAATACCCGATACTCACCTGCAGAATATGTCATACTCACTTGCGGATTATGCCATATACCGCAGGTGAATATGACACATACCGCAGGTGAATATGACATATACCGCAGGTGAAAACGTGATACAGAAAGCCTTGATTTGATTGGTAGCGAGAATCGACTCTAAATTTATATCGTTTTACTTGTTCGTTCAATCGAAGCAATTGACAATTGCGTACTTCCGTATCACGTTCTCATTGGTTAGTGTGTATGCCATATACCGCAGGTGAATCTGTCATACACCGCAAGTGAATATGCCATATTCGTTGCTGAATATGACATATTTTTGTATCGTGTTTACCGCGTAACAGTTGCACTATTCCAACTTAATCGTATAATGCCCTGAACGAAATGCTTTGATATCGCGTCATCGTCTTCCAGTTTACAAATGTTTCGTTTTATTTTTCCAGCAAAACTGACCTTGTGCAAAATTATCGCCTAATAGTCGGTACATTGGTTCAAATCACATGGTAAAGTTGACCAATAAAACTTCAACATATAACTATGGATCCCGAAAAGAAAGAACTTGCAGAGAAAGATCTCGAGAAAGGGGCGTGTACTGGTGTCTCAAACCCAGCGTTTGACGGTCCTTCTGCAATTGTTAGTGTAAGTATTAAATAGCACTAAACACTAGCAAGTCAATATCAATATGATAAGCATAGGTAGTATTCATACATATCTTCATTGCATCAAAGACATATTAAGATTGAGATCATACACCATCTACCTTTCATAAGAGTCAGCGTAGGGTTTTAGATAAACAATTCGTACTGAGTCTTATGAGAAAATATTAGCCTCTGGTTAAACGGCCCTTGGCTATTATTTCACATAATACCCACGGCTTATTGTTTATCCTTCTCACAATTTGAAAATATGCCACTCCAGTCCAAGACATGAATAGCCAGTAACCATAATTTCCATATTTTAATCTAGTCTTGCTTCAAGACCCTGAGCTATCTAGTACTCTAACAACAACAACAACTCGAAGTCGAACAAACAAGTCGAACGAATCTAAAGGGTATTTAGCTATAAATAATTAAGTTTTTTTTATATCGTCGTTTTACTTTTTATACAAAAGTCATCGATCTTTTCATGAAATTCATAAAAACTTTTTTTCTTTATTCAGTTTTATTCATGAAAATTATTTATTTGAAAATACAAATACAAGAAGCGGCTGTGTATCAAAACATTAATAGCCACATTTAAATACATTTGAATACATATATTTGGTCACAGGTTAATATGAGAACAAGTTTAAAGGAAAACAAGTGGGTGGTGGATAAGAAGGCTAGACATTAAAACATTTCTCAAAGAATTGTGCACTGAGCTTTAAAATACATAAACTTATTCTTAGTGGTAAAAGTCGATTACCGTTCACAAAAAGAGATAGCTTGTCTTGTTGGGACCTATACACTTCGGAGAGTTGAAATTTTGTATGATCCCAAGTTCATCATCTAGTTCAATGAAAAATCTCAATCTAAGTGTGCAGCCAAAAACTACATGTAGGGTAGTCTCATTTTTGTAGCAACATAGGCATATACAGGAGTCTCCACATTTGTAGAATTAAAAACGTTCATGACACGTTTCAAAGTTTTTTCAAAGTTGCTTTATAAATGTTCTGTATTATGATGATGCTCGTCTTGTTTTGTGGTATCGTCTGTGTTCAAGTCGATAAGCAATTCAATAGAGTTGTGAATCCCACGAAAAACCACTCATCATTTGCTATTGTAGAGTAGGCATTAGGAATATCTCATTGCAGGTATTTCAAATGAAAAAAGTGCCGTTTAAAAAACTCTCTCTTAAATATAATTTGTTAGCCTATAAACCACGATTACTTGAACATGAAATACATTGATAAAGATGTATTTGATTTGTAACAAAAAACTTTTTTTAAAAAGCTTGACGTATTTCGCTTGACGCATAATATAAGTGAACATGAGTGAAGATTGGCACCTGCCTGCTTGCACTTATTCTGTTACACTACATAAAAGTATAAATGAACATTTTAATAGATTGTGTATGTTTACTTAACACGAGTGTTTTAAGAATGGATTCCATTGTATTATCTAATTTAAGTGCCGTATTGAGAATGAAATTGGTTAATATGCCACCCCACCCAATAGTGGAGACAGGTTGTTGACGCTACCATTTATTGTGTCCGGCGTATATAATATAGAAAATGTTCCACATATTTCTATACGAGATGTTCCTTATTTGCATAGATCTTACCTAAAACATGTGCACCTATATGTTTTTTTTATTAGTCAAGTCCTGGGAGTTGAAATATACATTACGAGTCTTCAAGTTTTCAGAAATATGTTATAATAACTAGTCTTCAGATGCAGATATAAAGAGAGAATCAGATCTAGCGTGTCATCCTTCATTCAAAGGACTTCGATAATTTATTACTCAATTAAGAAAGAAGTGAAATACCCTTGGACCAAGGATGCTAGCGATTGAACTGAGTGGGCTTTACAAAAACATTTTCACTTTTAAAATATTTTTGGCTCATCATTCCTTGTCATGTCCATTTCATAAATACCCCCGAAGTGCAATCTAAATTTCAAGAAAACTATAGATCTTTACAAAATGTAATCATTTTTCTATAAATATGGTTACCATGTTCACTATTAAGGGGATTTTTAACACCCTCCCCCCCCATTTTCCTCTTTGAACCTTTGATAACTTCACCAGTTTATAACATATTGCGGATCTTTCCCCCCCTATTCTGCATATAAGGAACTACATGTCACCAGTCTTCAGTGTTTAGGAAATATACAAGTATGTTGCCAGTCTTTTTATTTCATATCTAAAATGATGGCGACATTTTCTACCAATCTGTTGTAGTTAGCCATTGTGTTGCTACAGGTAGCTCAAAATGTTGCTGTTTATTGTTTTCAGAATGGCATTCCTGATAGCAAGGATGTAGAAGATGATGTTTCGGAGGACACATTTGACCCTTGGGAGCTCGTTAATCCTAAAGTAAAGGAGAAGAAATGGAAAGGTACAACTGATAAAAACAATTTAGAGAATGATTTTCTTTATATAGATGGAAAATCAAAACAGTAAATCACGGAAATGAAGTGCACCTAGAGTTCTTAAGTGCACGGAGAATATACTTTTTACAAAGCCTATTATATAGATTAGTGCTCAAAATTTGAATGCCATTCTACATGCATATATTCACTAATTACTTGGTTTATAAACATATTGAACACATTTATTTCAGAACTATCATCGTTTGGAAAATTCAAGCGTGTCATGTGGCTCTTGGCCAGACTGGTGATCCTGCTTGCTCTCCTTTATCTCTTCATATGTTCCTTGGACTTCCTGAGCAATGCTTTCAAACTGCTCGGAGGTAAGTAAATTCAGCTCATCTTTCTAGATAGTTTGCTTCATAACCCTGGACTATCTACTCTCACAACTGTGTTGTTTATATAGGAGTCAGGTTCAAGGTCTTGAGGCCAGACTACCTTCGAGATCGGGCTTCACTAGTATGACAGCTATTGAAAGCATTGGACTAACCTTGGACCAAGGATGAATATATTGCACGAATTTGTATTTACCTTTAGAAATTTAAACATTTGTGTCATGAATAATATTGATCAGCGTATTCATCCACGTGAAGTCTATATTTACTGTGGCTGGTTCATCGCGACCCATCTTGTCATATCTTATACGTTAGCCTTTGTTGATCAATTCAAAACAAATCCAAATATAGCCCTAAGTGAATAATTGAATGTGATTCATATGTAACTATATTTAAATTAGATGAAACAACTTATGACATTTAAACATTTTCGAGGCTGGGTTTGTGATCTTATCATTCAATGTAGTTGATCTTCCAGAGTAGGCCTACATGTAAAGTCATCAATTCAAATAAAATACGAAATGCATTTTTATACAGACGTTACTTAGTCACCAGATATTTCACTTTCTACGAATTTCGTTTCCTAGTAACGCTACTCCAGCATGCACTCACACTTATCATTGTTGGCGTTTTTAGGAAAATCAGCCGGACAAGTTTTTTCCCAGAATTCTTTGCTACGAAATCCAGTATGCGGACTGATGTTAGGAGTTCTGGGAACTGTCCTCCTTCAAAGCTCATCGACTACCACCTCTATCATAGTAACGATGGTGGCTGAAAGCAGTACGTATTACATATTCTACCTCACCACCAGGAAGCTCTGAAATATAGTCATAAGTCACTGTTTTATGTTATCGACGTTATGGTTGTTTGTTTAAAATATATCATCCAAAAACTTTTCAAAAATTCACGCATGCGTTAAAAACCGTTCGATTAATTAAGAAGTTTAAGATTTATCTGAGTCTCTCATTCTCTTGAGTTCAACAAACAGTAGAGACTATGAATCACAAATGCAGTTTTCTCCTATTGATAAATCTAACCTTGTCTTGATAATAGGGGTGAGATCCATCTTCGCACACTCGGTCTTCACTGCGTTCACCGACGTGGGCCGAGTGAACGAAGATGGGTGAGATCAGAGGCCTGGTGCAATATTAAATTAAAATCAAAGTAATTTAAAAGACAGGCAACTGACACTTTTTGCATGGTTGAAAAATGGTCGCAAAATTATTTTGCAGTTCTTGATGTGCAGACGGCTATTCCAATTATAATGGGCGCAAATATTGGTACATCAGTGACAAATACGATCGTGTCGATGGGGCAGATTACGGAAGTGAACGAGTTCAGGTAATAAGTAGAAGAGTAAGTAAGATTACGGAAGGGGTTCTCGTATTGTACACACCCTATGATCATTTGAATAAACAATTCGCCAAATGGCCCGAACTCCTTGTACAAGTACAACACACTGGGATTTAGTAAGTTTGTTTGCTTTTTCGCATTTGATCTTGACATCTATACTTTATGAACACTTGATGATGCAATATTACTGTTGGGAGTCAACAATTACAAAATCAAACATTCTGCATTGTCAATGTTTGTCCCGATCGACACCGAAGAACTTTACATATTTCGCCTGGGCATAGTTCATCTGAGTCTCTTCCTCTCCAGCACCATGAACGAAATAACTTGACCGGGGAAAGTAAGTAAGTCAAAATTTGACTCAAAATGTGTGTGCGGTCATACCCTTTGAATTCGTTCGACCTCACTTCTTAAGAAAGCTTACTGTGCTGAGGGTAGTGCGATCGCATCCAACGCAACCCCTCCATTTGGACGCTCATAAATATAAACACCAGCATAATACTGTTCTGGTGTCCAGATATTGATTTTTACAAGTATGTTCGACATTTTGCTATACACGATGACATTTTAGTTATAGTGGTCCACAGAACCTCAGACACTAAACAAATAGATTGAAGTGTCTGTTGTTATTTTTATGGTTTTTATTTTGAACTCTATGACCTCTGAAGTCCCCAAGAGGGCGAGACCCGCGACATGTCAATATCTGACTTGTTCCATAGGCAAAACAGCCCTAATTCACGTCACCATACTAGTCAATGGGCAAAAGCCCAAACGCCTGACTTTTTATCTCGAGTCATGGCTTTATGTGGCCTCACTGACCTATCTGAGGTTCTAAAGCTATGTCTAATCTACATTTTGACACTAAACTCAATAGGGGCCAAACATATACTTTTTGAAATAATTGGTCAATTGTGACACTACCCCCTCTCTCTGCCGACAGAAATTGAAATTCACAAAAATGAAGGCAAAATTAATACGCCACTTGACTCGAAATTTTCCTTCAGATAACCCAAATAAACGCATTTTCAGAATAAATGGCATGTTAACATTGCAAAAAGATGACAACTGTACCTACATACTAGCTTACTGACTCGTCATGATCACAATTGTGTTGGGACTACATTAATTTTTTAAAACTACTTTTTTCTCAGCGGAAGTGACGTATTAGGGCAGTTTGGCCAAAGTCAACTTGAGCGTCATACATCCCTTAGCAAAACCGCATGCATGCAAAGTCCATGCGATTTTTCCATGCAATATCAATGCAAAACACATGCAGCAGAATTTTAACTCATTTAAAAAAACCATGCAACATCCATTCAAATCCATGCAAAGTCCATGCAACATCCATTCAAATCCATGCAAAGTCCATGCGACATCCATTCAAATCCATGCAAAGCACGTTAATCCACATGCAAAGTCCATGCAGGCTGCGAGAAATATTGTTAATAAGTTCCATGCAATGTCCATGCAAAATTGCATGCATCTGCATGGATTTATATGAAAACCATGCAATCCACATGCATGCAATATTGCATGGACTCGCATGATCCATACAACATCCATTCAAATCCATGCAAAGTCCATGCAAAATCCATTCAAATCCATGCAAAGTCCATGCGGCACCCATTCAAATCCATGCAAAGCACGTTAATCCACATGCAAAATTGAATGCATCTGCATGGGTTTTAACGAAAACCATGCAATCCACATGCAATTTTGCATGGACTTGTATGGTTCATGTTACATCCATGCATCTGCTGTTCTGCCCGTAATATACAATTCGTATACTAGTATCAACCTTACTGACAATGTCAATCAATCAAGGAGCACCTGTTTTAGATTGTGAGAATTAATAATAGTACTGCTTCATCTGCTGCACATTAGGTCAAGGATGCCATGTGATCAGAAGTCTTCTAAATGCAACATTTATAATAAGGCATTTAAGCTGACAAATGTCACCACCAATTTCATATGCAAATGAGCTAATTTACACTTTAATTTACACTCAGTTTACACCTTAGTATACACCCACTTTACACTTAAGTTTACATCTACTTTACATCCAGTTCGCACTTAGTTTTCACTTAAGTTTACACTCAGTTTACACTTACTTTACACCCAGTAAATAGGTGACCAATTTCACATGCAAACGAGCTAATTTACACCTAAGTTTACACTCAGTTTACACTTTAGGATACATCCAATTTACATCAAGAGCACATTCTGATTGGTCAGATTTTAAACTTAATTTACAGTTAGTTCACATAGTTCACCTAATGCTTAATTGGCGAAATGCTAACTGCTTATCGCAGGGGGAGTGAATGCAAAGATATTCTGAATTTTGAAGCACTGTGATTAGAGAATAATATTAATGAAGATACAGGGGGTCTAAAGCATAACGAATTGCAAAAAATTACAAAAACAAAAATCCCATGTTATTTTCCAGTTATTTTCCCATGGATTTTCCTGGAATTTTCTGTCTAAGCGCTTTAAAAAGTATTTGTAGGAGTTATGCTATATAGTACAAATATCACAGAATGATCAGCATTAAAGATCTATACAAGTAGTTCTGCTCAGATTTTTAAATTGAAGTTTTAAACAAAAAATGCTAAAATAATTCTGTCTTGTAAAAAGTTCAAATCCACCATCTTGAATTATGATGTCACAATGACACTCTTTTGCATATTCAATTTTTTCAAGAAAACCCCCCATAAAATATGGGTCTATATAATTTATTGGGCCTTGCTTCCTTCTCTTGCTTCTAGATTCTTTTACAAATAACTTTTTTCTCCAAGGAGTTAATGAATGTATATGTCCTATGTAAAACCTATACAAATAAACTGACCCATATTGAATTACAGCTCAGGATATAATGCCATCATGATTCAGATTAGAATGAATTCTAGGTGAAAAGATCAAAACAAACAGGCAAAGCACAAAAGGTAGAAAGATTCAATGGATATATTGAAAAGAAATTTAAAGCTTAAGAAAATGGATAACTAAATGAACAATGATGATGAAACTGGAACAAATGCACAACTAATACCTAATGGTAAAGTTGACATCAAAATCAAATAGAGTAAAACTGCATCAGGGCCGATGTTATAGGATTTTGTGAAGACTTACCAAAACCAAAATGGCTAAGCCAGCTTTGATTGAAAGAGAGGCTGCATGAGCCTCGTTTTGGAATTAGGATTCAGTCTGATATTGCATGGTTCTTGCATGGATTTCAGTAGTTCATGCGCATACATGCAAAATGGCATGGTACTTGCATGGATTTTAGTTTTCTATAATAAAACAGTTGCATGGACTTTGCATGGTAGTTGCATGCTGCATGTGAATTGCATGGTGATTGCATGGAAATATATTTTGGGGAATTTTTAAAGTTTCATTCGCATGGACTTTGCATGGGCATTGCATGGATAAGTGCATGGGTTTTCTGTTCAGCCTTCTCTTTCAAAGCCAATTGCATGGACTTGCATGGATTTTTTCTGATTGCATGGACTTTGCATGTGCTTTGCATGGAAAAAACCCATGCGCTTTTGCTAAGGGATATATAGAAAATTGCAGAAGTTTAAAAAGTAAAAAGTACCCTTTGTGAATCAAGCTCCGTCACAATGATAAATGTTTATTTATATTTTTTAGGAGAGCTTTTGGAGGTGCCACAGTCCACGACATGTTTAATTGGCTCACTGTATTTTGCCTTCTACCAATTGAGGCGATATGTGCTGCGTTTGAGCCATATGCACATGGAGGTAACAACTATTTTTAGAATCAAATAGAGTTAATTAATGTACTTAATATATTAATGTGCGTATGCACATGGAGGTAACAACTACTGTTAGAATCAAATAGAATTAATATAAAATTAATGTACAATATTAATGTGCGTATGTACATGAAGGTAACAACTACTTTTAGAATCAAATAGAGTTAATATAAAATTAATGTACATATATTAATGTGCGTATGCACATGGAGGTAACAACTACTTTTAAAATCAAATAGAGTTAATATAAAATTAATGTACATATATTAATGTGCGTATGCAAATGAAGGTAACAACTACTTTTAGAATCAAATAGAATTAATATAAAGTTAATGTACATATATTAATGTGCGTATGTACATGAAGGTAACAACTACTTTTAGAATCAAATAGAATTAATATAAAATTAATGTACACATATTAATGTGCGTATGTACATGAAGGTAACAACTACTTTACTGCTACAACTAGAATCAAGTCATGGTTTTAGTAATTTAATTACCTTTTTCAAATACTAGTACATTTTAAATGCTAAGCAAATAAGTTCATTTTAAGTTCATGTTCACTCATGGCAACACTAGTATTTTGCTACTATTTTGCTACATTTTGAAAGAGAAAAACCTACGAAATATAATGAAGGTAAACTGAATAAATATCTTTATGCTTTGGTTATATCCGTTTGAATTGTTGTGCGAAAACAAAATAAAACGCAATTGAAAACAAATAAGTGCTTGACATAGATTTCACTTGTGATCCTCGAGTGTTCATTCAGTGTTAGTTTGACTTTCTCATGAGATGGTAAATATATCGAAGCAATCGAAGCATATTGATATAATTATATAGTATAATAACGCTGTCAATTGCAGAGCTTTTCACAAAGAGGTTGCATTACGTCAACCCAAGGTCAGCATAAACTTGACGTAACCAAAAACAGATAAATGTGAAAAGACAACGAAGTATCGTAAAATGACGAAGATGGGGACATTTAAGTCACCTGATATCTAAATATAAACGTAGTACATCATTTTCATTTACAGAGCTTTTCACAAAAATGTGATATTACTTCAACCCAAGGTCAGCATAAAATTGACGTAACCAAAAACATCATCAAATAACTAAAAGTTTAACAAAAATTAAGAGATAAATATAAAGAGACCCCGGAGTGTCGTAAAATGACATAGATAGTTTAAGTCACACGATATCTAAATTAAGCTTTTTACAACATTTTCATTTACAGAGCTTTTCAAAAAAGTGACATTGCGTCAACACAAGGTCAGCATAAACTTGACTCTCGGAAAGTATCAAAAACATCATCAAATAAATAAAAAATGTAACAAAAAAGAGATAAATATAAAAACACCCTGAAGTGTCGGGGAATGACAATGATAATGACATTAGTCACCTGACATCTAATATACAGGGTGGGCCAAAAAACGCCACTTTTTTTCAAGACACTATAACTTTTTTATTTTCCAACCTACATACCCCAAATTTTGCAGTTATATAGTGCCAAGGGTTCTTAGTAATAATATAATGTAACGAGTCCTTCAACTGGGATTATATTTGATCTAAAAAGAGGAGTTCAATTGGTCCGCCATCCCATTTGATGATAGATTTTAGTTTTAGTCGCCTTGCTGATATAGCAGTATCAATAAAATGTAGCTATATTTTTTCAATGTGTCTTAATTGCCAGCTTTAGTTAAGCAATTTTTTAGATCGGGTGCCTTCATACCATCTCCTGGAGACCTCCCCATGCCCTATACTCACTTAGGTTTGAATAAAGGCTATTAGCTTGCGGTCATCAGGGCGTATCAGTTTAGGAACATTATGCAAATTATGCTTATTTCTCATGGCACACCACGTGTTTAAGTGAGACGCTGGTGACATATTTTATTCAAGTAAAAGTGTATAATTCATGATCAATGTCTAGATAACAACCTCAAGTTTCATTTGGTATGTGAATTGTGATTTTGTATCAAAAATTAAAAAAGTTATAGCATTTTGAAAAAAGTGGCGTTTTTTGGCCCACCCTGTAGTATAATAACACTGTCACGGACCTTTTCACAAAGATGTGCCATTACGTCAACACAAGGCCAGTGTAAACTTGACAAAAAGTAATCTAAAACATCATTAAATAAATAAAAATATATATCAAAAATAAATATAAAAAGACGCTGAAATGTGGCGACGAAATAATCATGATAATGAGATTAGTTATCCGACTTCACCATACGTGACTTATCCAAAAATTTGCTCCCAAAATTAAATGCAGCCCTTAAAGTGACATGTATTCACTCCAAAGTCCGTTTAGAACTGCTCTAAAAGAAATTTATTACGACAATTATGCTACATTTACTTTTAGAACTCATTAATTGGTCACACCAAGTCATCTCACCTTCTCCTATACGGAGGTTACATTTTGAATGATTTTGTTTATAAAGGTCCCCTATATTGGTTGACGAGGTCAATTGTAGACAGCCTGCATATCGAAACTGCACAGGATGTCAACAAGGAACTTCTGAAAGTGATCACCAAACCATTTACTAAACTTGTGATAAGCGTAAGTGTATTTTCCTAAAATATATCGTTCGCTTTACATTAAAGTAAACAACGCGAGGGCTTGGTCATGAAGTACTTTTATTGTTACAGGAAAATCTTTTTCTGGGAATTCTTTGACCTATGTTGTACTTGTACTCCTTTGGTTCGAGTGGAATGATGAATCATAGATACGCGATCAGATTATTTTTAAGTGCTGTTTTCCTCATTTACACACCTTAGAATTTAATGTGATATTTCATCCAGTTGGTTGAATTGAAATAGAAATATAATATACAGCCCTTATTTGAACATATCATTTCCCCGAATGCATTTTGTGCTAATCGTACAGGGACTTTTTACTTGCATGCGATGTCTTAATTATAAAGTGCAATTACATTTATGTTATATATAACAAAGATTCCATAGATTTAAATGTTTGGGATCTGGGTGAATATTTCTTTTTGCCCCCGATATAGATAGTATCCATCTAGCTCATAGATAGTATTTATTCCCGCTTGAAAGTATCAAGCTTGAACTTACAGAGTTGCGAGATACAAACATCTATTTTTCTCATTTTTATACAAAGAAAGAAGTCTCACTTATTAATCAAGCTCAATTGTTTTATTTGTTACAGATCGATAGTAAAGCTATCACGAAAATTTCAACAGGAGAAGTTTTGGCAGAGGACGTTAAACTTGTGAAACATTGCAAGGACGCAGTGATGAAGAATGTTACTGTAAATGGTACAACTAGTCTAGAGGAGGTACAAGTCATAAGAAAATGTAAGAAACTGTTTGGATTTGTTAAATTATATTAGGCATAAAAATTGTTTAGTAATTTTCCATACATACAGGGTGTCCCAGAAGTAATGATAATTATGCTCTAAAATATATAAAATCTATATTACATTTATTACTTTACACAAATATATTCAATGTATAGTTGTCATAGCAACATGTACGCACGTTCTGCGGAGCAGCTGTGTGTTTTTCATACATTTTTGAAAAACATTTCATGTTCATATGTTTCTCTGCTGTTCTCATCACTACTGTAATGCTGCTACTTTATTCCTGATATTCCTTAAGAGCATTGTACATTGTTGATTCACTTATCCACATACTGTCCTTTGCTGGAGACAATTTGTCTGTGCCTTTCCAGCCAGGATTGGAAGACATGATCAAAACCACTGTTGGACATATCCTGCAGAGCCAACTGAACCGAGCGGCGCAATTGTGAACCGAATCTTTTATGCCACCTATACACAGTGGGGTTGGACAGTCTTCTCTCACCATATGCTTGTTTAAACTCCTTTATAGTGTCACTGGGTTTACCCCCTGTCTTCTGAAGGAATTTTATGACTGCTCTCTGCTCTAATTTTTCATCTTTGCTCAACGTTGGTGGCATAATGTACACCTCCCTGGAAATTCCTAGGTTGTGTTCCTAAGAGTTTTCCTTTTGTGAACCCCTATATGACATCATCATGTGATGTCATAATATCAGATTAAAGTGATAATCCTGTCACAATGAGATAAATTACATAATATTAAACCACTATGACATCATGCAACTGTATACAATTACCATAACAATGATTTAAAAGCCTGAAACATTATCACAGAATAACTGCTTTTCTAAACTAAGTTTGAACATTTATAATATACGGAAACTGCTCCGCAGAACGTGCATACATGTTGCTATGGCAACTATACATGGAATATTTTCGTATAAATTCATATATGTAATATAGCAAATTGAAGCTTATATCCCAAACTTTAATTTGTATGAATTTCATATTGTTTCCTGGTCAAATAAAAATTTAAGAGCATAATTATCATTACTTCTGGGACACCCTGTATATCGAACTTTTCGCTATAAATTAACAATCGGGGTCTTTATGACCTGTATTAAGTACTTGTATTTGTTTTTATCCCAAAACATGATGTTGTTGTTTGTTTTCAACTAACTACAAAACATTATGAGATTTAGGGATAGGGATAGATTTGAATTCAGATATAAGGGATTTCGTTGAAAAATATATTCTGGCTAACTTTTATTGCATGTGATTGCAGCAAAGGTCATTAAAACATCGTATGACGTTTTTCATGGAGATGCAGTGAATAAAACTTAAAATTGAATATTAAAAGATTTGAGTGCACGAGACCGTTTTCTAACCTACTAACGACTAAACAAGGTTGACAAATTACTTTAAAGATACTGGCACGTGTTTGCCTCAGAGAAGTAGTCATAATCTAAGACAGAAACAACCACACCTGTCTTCAAAACGCGATGCAATGAATAGTTAAACCAGGTCAGGCCTGTAGCCAGCTTTTGCCGAGGGGGCTCACTTTTCCAAAATATCCAAGTGGCTGGAGATTCGCATTCAACCTTAGACCAAAACCATTTGAAATGATTTTGAAAGAATATTTGGCCAGGAGTGTTCGCTCGAACGCTCCGACCCCCCCCCCTGGCTACGGGACTGTAGACTAATGGTTGACTGATGTACATGAAGTTACCAATATGCCCTAAGTGGTTGAAATACCGTTGCATAGTAGTGACAACACGAGATACAGAACTGTGTTGCTCAGTTTCTTTGCTTGGTGTGGACAAAATGTCAAAGCAAAATGATCCGATGATAACTATAATAGTATTTATAATCGATACATTATTCACCTAGCCAATTTATCCTGGTTTCTTTAGTATAGCAACATTTGCCAGAGTTCAATGAAGACGTATGTTATCTGAATTCGAGGCAAGATTATTTATGACTATTGAAATAAATAAGTGCTAAACTTGGCAGTATACATTCCTCGAATACTTTTTATTCAAATGATATGTCTTCGTAAAAGTGCATCTCAATTGTTCGTAAATGGTGTCATTATGTTCAGTAAAACCTGGGTGTAGTGAACATTTTTTACCGAGAAAAACGTTCACTACAGCAAGGATCTGATTTCGCGGCATGTAATTGCCATATTTTATAAAACGACCAGTCATTAAAAGAGGAGGGAATAATCAAATTAATTTGTATTTTCCACCCATCATACTGTTAAACCAGTGTATTCCTTCAGTCATAAATGTAATACCTTGGATCAAGATGCTACCCATTATTATTATTATTATTTATGTGGTATATGCAACGAAACATGGATATTATTCGTAAAATAGAATCGTTGATAAAACAACAGGCTAGGCAAATTTGTTCGAATTTACCAATTATTATCTATACTAAAAAATAATAAATTGTTAATTATAAAAACATTTCTAGTCCTTACATTACATAATTATATGTACCTCCAGAACTAAAAAATCTGTTTAATCAATCAAAAAATACATTTGAGTCATTCTATGCTGAAAAATTGAAGATGTGTTATATATTATATTTATTTTTTGTTTTATGATTTCACCAGGTGCTCTGGGGGAGGCTAAAAGTCTGTTCGCCCTTACGGACTGGAGTGACGAGTTGGTCGGGGGAATACTTTTGGTAGTAGCCTTGGTGTTGCTCTGTATTTGCCTCGTCCTTATCGTGAAGACTCTCCATAGTTTACTCAGTGGTCACATAGCAGTAGCAATCAAGAAAGTCGTCAACGCTAATTTCCCTGGTGAGTCATACTTAAGTCGAATACATTCGTCGAATACAATACCTGGAGCAAGGGCGTTACAATACCCGGGAATTTATCGGTTCGTGCAGTACTTGTTTGTGATAGCGCCATCTGCAGGTCACTGTGGTTATAGCTAAATACCCGGATATTTATCGGTTCGTGCAGTACTTGTTTGTGATAGCGCCATCTGCAGGTCCACTGAACGAAACGCGACTTCCCGCTGACATCACCGGGTATTGATTTTTCCCTTGCCTGGAGGCCAGTACGATTGCACTCATTGGTATGTGGATGAGAGCATGTTAATAGAGTTAGACTACAGACGACCTTGAAAGAAGATAAAGGTCACTGACCTCTGTGTCCATGATCGTTTTACATTTGAAGTGATAATAAATTTGACAAGCTGAACTTTTTTTAAGTGCCTAGTTATAACCTACCGACGAAGACGAAGTTCTCTTTTGAGAAGCGAAGTCGAACGAATGCAAAGGGTAAATGAAAGGGGGTGGCCTTTTGGAATGAGATATTGAAACGAATTAACGTACTAGATTTAGATCTCTAGATTTTGTGATTTTTATGAAGAAAGTAGCTAGTTTACTTCATTCAGGTCAAGCAAATGTAATATTACTTGATATAAATGCAACAAAAAACGTTCGTAATGAATAGGATCGGTAAAAAAGTATATATTTCATATTTATGTGAAAGTATTTCAACTCATGTTTGGTGGGCGTTTCGAACGAATGCACAAGCTCATTTCTCATATCAGTGAGTCAGGTTTTTGACCAATTAGAAAATGACGAGCATTAAAATGATTTATATGGATTCAAGATTATTTTGTTTCAAGCCATATATGTGGCTTCCTCACAAATTAATTTACACGACATTGACATATAGCCTTACATTCATACAGTAAAATACTTTGCTTGTGAATTATCTTTATACTAACCATCATGCAATTTAATGTATGTCTTTTTCAAATACTCCCAACGTTGATTAAAAAGTTTGTTAATAAATTGTTTCAATTCGTTTACAATTTCATAAGCATGAGAAGTCTATACACATTATTTCAATCTGTATTTCAGGTAAACTTGCTTTCCTGACTGGCTACCTTGCCATTGTCGTCGGAGCCGGGTTGACAATTCTGGTCCAAAGTAGTTCTATTTTCACGAGTGCCATCACCCCTCTGGTGGGGATCGGCGTACTTAAGATTGATAGGATGTACCCATTGACCCTTGGAGCAAACATTGGCACGACGTTCACCGCGATATTGGCCTCACTCACGCAGTCAAGTACAAAGCTGAAATTGGCATTGCATATTGCCTTCTGTCATCTGTTTTTTAACATCATCGGTATCATCATATGGTACCCGATTCCTGCAATGAGGCGAGTTCCAATAAAACTGGCGAAGTTCCTCGGCAACAAGACTGCTAAGTACCGATGGTTTGCTATCGTATATCTTATTCTGATGTTCTTCCTATTCCCTGCGTTTATCTTCGCTATATCGATACCCGGTTGGGAAGTACTAGTGGGTGTCGGCGTCCCAATTCTCGTTTTCATCATTGTGATTGCCATAATTAACTGCATGCAGTCGAGGCATCCCAACCGTCTCCCCAAGAAATTACGTAACTGGGACTTCCTTCCGATTTGCCTACACAGTTTAGCGCCATATGATCGTATATTCCGGTGCTGTAAGGTATGTCGACCAGGAAAAGATGAACAATCCCCACCGTCAACACCACCACCTGCTTACAATGATACTATTACTAACCAAGTACCTGTACATTATGAAAACACCGTCCTATAAGATTATTTTGAATCTCTCTTCATTTAAATATTCTGGTCGTATATATGGGATTCTCTTGCTAAAAAGGACGAATGACCACGGAGTCTGGACTCTGGGTACAAGCAGAGGAAGGATATCAACGAAGGAGTGCCGTCGTAGGAAATAACATCAAATATTCTACACGATTGAGTGTTCCCATGACGCTTTTGAGAAATATAGTGGTGACTTGCGATTTTTACCTAACCCGAAAATACGGAACATATTTTGTGAACAGTGTCCCATTTTTGTGACCCATAATACCATATACAGTAAAACCCGTATGTGTTAACACCTCAATCTCAAAACAGTTTATCTTGTTCATTACCTCTTATTGACGCCATGTTTGAACACTCGTTTGACAAACCAATATAGTAGCTGAGTGGAAAGATTTATCTTATACCTTATACCTTTGAACTATGATTTTTACGTCACCACTTGACATATTTTTATAGTGTCCAACTTTTTTGTGGACGGTTTTCGGAGGTCGGCGCCTCTAACAAATGGCAGGTGGTGAAATTTTGCATGCAAATGCCTTGTATAATTGTATTTAACTGTAAATAAAAATAAAATAAAAAGATTTAACTGTACTGCCTTTGAACTATGATTTTTACGTCACCACTTGACCACAAGTGGTGACATATTTTGATAGTGTCCAACTTTTTTGTGGACGGTTTCCGGAGGTCGGCGCCTTTAACAAATGGCAGGTGGTGAAATTTTGCATGCAAATGCCTTGTATAATTGTACAGTACCAGACATGCAGTATCCAAGAAAAACTCTATGTAAATGAAAACATTCCGTTACTTTATAAAAGTGAAAACCATTTTAATTGTGTAATTATGTATATTATATATTGTATATAGTGTATCTAGTTCACCTTTTCGTGAACGTGCAGTTATAGATCTGAATTCAGATTAGACGGGTCTTATTGTATTTAAAAGTGTATTTTTATATAATTGCTATATTCGGGGTGTCAAAAAACAACGGCACCCCCCCACTCTACAGCGAAAAGGACTTAATGTTACATGGTGTGTCATATCTCATTTTAAAGACGATTTAATTCTGGAGTTACCTGAGAAATTTCAGCTTTGTATCATTTTACAGATTTACAGCCGATTGTTAGTAGTTGGTATGGTCACCACTTGGTGCTCGAATAGCAGCTAATCTGGATTGATATGGTTTCAATAAAAATTCAAATAAAGGTGTAGCATGGTCTTTAAGCACTTTCCTCACATTCTTTAGTAATTCCATCGTTACTAGCTGTATCTGTTTTCAAGAAGATATCTGCCAATCAATCACTCTACCCTTTATTTTACAATTGAACCCCTTAGGTTCAGCGCAGTCGAGATCTGAGCTATTTCCTACTAATTCATCACTTCCAAGATTTGACCCGTAACAAAGTAGCTAACAAAGTACTGAATGAAGTAGCAAATTTTGAAGCAATGTGACTTTTTTAATATAGTTTTATAACTGAAATTTCTTAGGTTACTCCGTAATTATATTATCTTTCAAAAAGTATATGACACATCATATAACATGAACGAGTTTTTCTGTACAGGGGAGGGTGTGCCGTTGTTTTTGACACCCTGTACACTGTAGATATAGTACAGGTATTTATTCGGATTTCAACAGTTTTGCCTTCTGGGAGCCTAATTAGTACAACAAATATATATTTAATTAGCTCAATTAAAGGATTAGTATTCATATATTGTATATATATCTCCTTTAATTAGCTATAATGATGAGTAATTATTAATCATTTTATATTAAATAAAGGTGTGTGATGCACCTGTTATATTGTATTTCACTTACGCTAGTATTAGTGATATTGACTTTACCTTCTTCATGTTGGTTATAGGGAGGGTTTGTGGGTTTTTCGTCCTGCTTCAATGGAGTTCTTTTGGTAACTGACCTACAACTTGTTACCTGCTGTGCGTGACGTCACTGGTCACGTGGTCTCTGATTGGGGACCGATCAATCTTACCAGAGTTGACCTTACCTTTATATTTATTGTACTAATAACCTATTCTCCCTGACAAAACTGTTTATAATTTCATAAATCTAATTATGGTATAATTATGATACATATGTAGATGATCATAACCGAGAAAATCGACTATATGCTTACTCTTTTAAATATGTTGTGCTATCAACTTTATGTATAAAATAAACTTCCAAAACTATACTTAATTGTTGAAAGATATTTGGGAGTTTAAGCTTACAATGTTTATAACAACCTAAACGTGAACGGATAATATTAAAGCGATGCATTTGTATGGGCGATCGATCATACGTATAGGTTGGCGTTTCGATTTTATATACAACCTTAAACTCCATATTGTAAAAACCATTACACCATTACATTATGTAGCCTGAATACAAAGGGTATACGTCAAGCCGTCAAACGACGGAGTGTCTTTTTGTATCTTAAGCGACTGAAGAAAGATATCTATTTTCTTCAGGAAACACATTCGTGTGAGAATGATTTGGATGAGTGGAAAAATGAATGGGGTAAAAATATTATCTTATCACACGGTAGAAAAAGAGGTGAACGAGGTGTTGCTGTATTGTTTAACGATAATTTTGATTGTAAGGTTGTCAAAAACACAACTGACCTCGATGGTAGATTTATTGTAGTACAGATTGAAATTGGTGGACTACAATATACACTGATTAATGTATATGCTCCAAACCTAGATAATGCTAGGAAAGAATTATTTGACGAACTATCAGTGATTGTATCCACGAATTTTGCATCTGATAATGTCATATTTGGAGGTGATTTTAATGTAGTGTTAAATAGAGAGGTAGATAGATATTCTAGGGCTATAGTAAGTCAACAAAAGGACCTATCTAGAGATTCTTTGATTGAGTATATGAATCGTTTTGACTTAATTGACGTATGGAGACACCAAAATCCCACAAAAATCCAGTATACATACGAATCTTATGCTAAGGATAATATGCAAAACTCTGTCAGTAAAAGTCGAATTGACATGTGGCTTATTAAAAGACATATGGTTAAAGAATCAGAAAGCAAAATAGTGCCATCAATTAAGTCCGATCATAAATGTATTGTGTTAAGCATTAACTCATCTGTCACTCACAAAGGAGGACCGGGTTTTTGGAAAATTAATAACAAATTAATAGAAAATGAAGCATATCAAAAGTTAATTAAGGAACTCATCGCTAAAACTAAAACAACTCTGAATAACGCTGATGATATTCAATTTTGGGAATATTTGAAATATCAGATTAAAGTAAAAACTATTGAATTTTCAAAGCAAAGGGAACTACGGGGAGAGGAAATAAAGTTGTTGAAAATTATTGAAAGCCTGGACTCTGAACTAGTTAAGGATGATTATTTGAATGAAAAAGCGTGTAGAGAATATGACGATGCAAAATGTAAACTAAATGATATATATCAATATAAAGCAGAGGGGGCCATTGAGAGATCTAGATCTGACTGGGTAGAAAAAGGGGAAAAAAGCACACACTACTTCTTCAACTTAGAGAAATCAAACTATTCAAAGAAAACTATAACTGAATTAAATGTTGATGGTAATGTGGTGACAGATGAGACAGAAATACTTAACCAAATTAAAGCATTCTATGTAGATCTCTATGACTCCAAGGCTAAAGCTGACACACAAAAGATCTTAACATAAATAAGTTAAATGAACATGAAAAGGCTTCATGTGAAGGTTTACTGAGGGTCGATGAATGTTATAAGGCCTTGAAAAAATTTAAAAATAGAAAAACCCCGGGAAGTGACGGGTTGAGTACAGAGTGGTATAAATGTTTTTGGAATGAAATCAATGAAATGCTTATTAAGTCTCTAAACTTGTCATTTGAAAAGGGTATCCTCTCAGTAAGTCAAAGACAGGGTATTATCTCGTTAGTACCAAAGGGGGACAAAAATCATTGGTTTTTGAAAAATTGGCGCCCAATCACGTTACTTAATATTGACTATAAGATAGCATCTAAATCAATTGCGCTCCGTATTAGTGTTATTTTGGCGAAACTTATAGGGCCCGACCAGACAGCCTTTATCAAAGATCGTTTTATTGGCGAAAACATACGGTACCTAGAGGATATTCTTGAATATTCTAAGAAAAAGTGCATTCCAGGCATTATTTGCATGGTCGATTTTTTTAAAGCCTACGATAGTGTTGAATTCGAGTATATAGAACATGTGTTGAGACTTTTTAATTTCGGGGACACACTAATTAAATGGGTAAAATTATTCTATACAGATATAAAGAGTTGTGTTTTGAATAATAATAGATCAACTGGCTGGTTCGACATTAAAAGATCATGTAGGCAGGGGGACCCCTTGAGTTGTTTGACATTTATCTTAGTGATAGAAGTCCTGGCAATTAGAATTAGACAAGATCAGACTATTAAAGGGATCCGCTTGGGAAATAATGAGCAAAAGATCGAGTTATTTGCTGACGATACAACACTGACAGTAGATAGCAAAGAATCTCTTAAACTGGCTTTAAACATTTTTGATGAATTTAAAGATATTTCTGGATTATGTATTAACAAAGAAAAGACAGAATGTATGTATATTGGTTCAGAAAGATCTAAAACTGAGAATAAGTTATACGGTTTAAAATGGGTTAAAGATCCAAGTAAATTTCTGGGAATTTGTGTCTCATATAATAAGAAATCAAATGATTTTGTTAACTTTGAGAAGAAATTAGACTCGCTTCAAAAAGTATTGAAAATGTGGTCAAGAAGAAATTTAACTTTATATGGTCGAGTTCTGATAATCAAAACGCTTGGTATTTCTAAACTGGTATATTCCATGTCAATGACAAATACCCCAAATGATATATTAACAAAGGCACAACAGATAATTTATTCATTCCTATGGGGTGGAAAAACGGAAAAGGTTAAGAGACGAACTTTAATTGGTGATTACGACGAGGGTGGTCTAAGAATGATTGACATGTTTTCAATGGAAAAAGCACTTAAACTGATATGGCTAAAAAGATTAATCGAACCTCGACAAAGTCATTGGAAATATATCCCAGAATTGTACTTTAAACCGCTTGGGGGAATAAGGTTCTTTATACAATGTAATTTTGATATTAAAACAATAGCCCACGACGTGCCAGAATTTTACTCAAATATTTTACAAATTTACTCTGATATAAGGAATATGCAAGCTCCAAGAACTAGTTCTGAAGTTAAAAGTGAAATACTCTGGAATAATAGATTTGTCCTAATTAATAACAAAGAGGTCATAAATAAGCATCTTATGGATAATGGGGTCGTTTACGTAAATGACCTCCTAAATGACCAGGGACATTTTTTACAGTATTATGATTTTAAGGCAAAATACAACGTACAAATTAATTTTATTGATTATTATGCTATAATATCAGCTGTACCGAAGGAGTGGAAACGTTTATTGAAGCGAGACTTAACTTCAGTTTTTGAACCGAGCCTACAAACGGATCTTGTGCATTTAACACTTGGCGAAAAACCAGTGTCATTGAATGGTTTAACAGTGAAGTCAATTCAAAAAATATTAAATAGAAACAAATATTTGGAACCACTATATAAAAATGAACATGATCGTGAGTTAGGAAGAATAGATTATTTTAAAATGGCTTATAGCTGTACGAAACAAAATAAAATTCGACAACTTCAATTTAAGATTCTACATGGTATTTGTACCACAAATGCTTACTTAACGCAGATAGGAATTAAACAGGATGCTAGATGTAGTTACTGTCCATTAAGAGACACTTTAAAGCACAAGTTTTGGGAATGTAGGCGGGTTCAGATTTTTTTGAAAGCTATTAAAGGGAATTTGGGGAAATTATTCAATGTAAATCTTAATTTTAATGCCTATGATATGGTGTTCGGAAGATCTGTAAATAATGAAAACACTTTGCTAAACAGGCTATCACTAGCAATCAAATATTATATATATGCAAAACAATTTAATGAGGTAAATCCCAACTTGGACGTGACTCAATTTGAAAATACCATGTTTATGTATATACCAGAACTTCTGGGTATGACTGTTGCGAATGTCTGAATGAATGGAGGTGGTGTGAAAGTGGTTTAATATTTTATCATTGCCTTGTTTAATGTATTATTTTATATTTGATTCAATAAAAAAAAAAAAAAAAAAAAAAAAAAAAATATTGTAAAAACCTTTTGATTCTCTTATCTAGTAAAGAATCGAAAGGACCTGTTGAAGAGGAGGAGATTTCCAAAATCTCATCAAAAAATTTTACGCCGTAAATTTTATTTTATTTTTATTTATTTATTTAGCCTCCAATACTGAAGAATAGTTTGACAATTAAAACAAAAATCTTACACTATACCTTATGCTAATTAAACAATTACAATATCATGAATTATACATGTATACATGAGCAAAATTTAAACCCAAAATAACAATGGGTACATTTGGTAAATCAGCCAAAAAATCTTCTTTGGTACATAATTGAGACATTCTTACATGAAATAATCAAAACATTATCCCAATTGTTCATTGGAAACTCCATGCCTAAAATAATGTTATATAAAACCTCACTTGAAAGTTTCTCAAATGTAGGATTTTCCTTAATCAAATTTTTAATCATAATCTTTCTGATATCAACATAATTATCACAACCCATAATAAAATGATTAAGATCTTCTAATGAATTGTTTTTACATTTCTTACACTCCCTATTTTCTCTAGGTAAAATATGATTGTTAATTTCTAAATTATGTATACCACATAGTAACTTAATCATCATATTACATTTTTGCTTAGGTTCGGGATGTTTGAGTCCCAAGTAATACCAGATAGAAGGAATGTCAACATGCAACTGTACAGTTCTAAAATCTTGAAGTTGAACACTCATTCATAAAGATTGTCTCCAACTATTGAATTCAAAATCTCTAACATTGTTCTAACATATCTTTTTCCATAGAAACTTTGACACATTTATACAACCATTGTACATAAAGGTGACAACATTGTCCAACAATTTATATTTATTTAAAATAGTAATATACCGTACTCTTTAGTAATACCACCTGCTTGATGATTCACTAAACATTCAAACACTCTAAATATAAAAATGTTCCTATAAATATTACAGGCACCCAAGGACATTACTTTGTACGTCGTCTAAAGCGATTTAGCCTTTGGAAATGATTTTACCCGATGTCAAAAGCCGTTAAGAATTAATATGTCTAACGTCAAATAATGATTTTGCACGACCATTTGAAACAATCGTTTCAAACTACGGGCATTTCGAAAATACACGTTTGTTCATTAAATTATAGACGGATTATAACGTTGGTTTTGATTTGATAATACATATTTTCTACATAATTCTTTTTGACGCAGTTAAAAACCGTTTTTGACCCTGTACGAAATCGTTTTTGACCCAATCCAAAATCGTTTTTGACGCCGTACGAAATCGTTTGTTACGCCGTTCACAGTCGTTTTTTTCGACTGCGTTCACAGTAATTCACATTAAAAAGCTGTTAATGATTGCGGAGATGTAATTGGACTTTATTTCCTATACCTCAAATTTTTCTATTTTTTTCTCAATAACGATCTGTTTCAATGAAAATATGAGTTCCGTCGTTCTTACTTTTTAGAATTGCGTTTTATTTGTGTGCAGTGTGCTTGCAGGGCTAGTCTATGTGCTTGTGATTGATTTATTCTTATTTCGAGGGAATTTTTGTTCATTACGCAAGTATGTAGTATCATGGGCTTTCAACTAGTTGAAAGCCCATGGTAGTATGTATGCCCTGCATTTGACGATACCAACCCTAAGTACGACGTGACATCTATTCAAACATGATAAAAATGAATTGATTAGTTTCAAATATAGATGGCAAAGTGGGCTTGGTTTGATCCTCCTCCATATTGACCATATGCAAGAAATAAAAATGAGCCTTTTTAAGTCCCCTCAAAGTTGGCACATTCTTTGTCTTGGATCGCCGATCATGAAATCTTTATCCAAAGATTTTAGTTTCTGTACTGAAAATGATGTTTAGAGCATTCATGTATAAGATATTATTACTTTGGAATGTTCTGTTTTGGGACACCCTGTGACCCTGTAATACTTCGAGACTGAACTAAGAGACTATTTGCTCTGTTTGTTTTCTCATCTCCGTTTACAATTAGAAATGATGACGCAACAATTGTCAACGAATAAACAATCAACTAATGTAATCATTCATTGAAATTGGAACCCTGGTTGTATTATCTAATTTTTATTTTGGCAATGATGTCTTGGAGACCGAATATGGATACATCGCGGGGACCGAAACAACGTCGAGTGTCGATTGGTGACATCCCATTCGTTAGACATAATAAGACATCCCTTTTACGACTGCAGTCATCATGCACCTCAAAAACAGTGATGGAAAAGTTAAGTTCTGGTCGAGTTGGGTCACAAATGTCGTCCTATCGGGAACCCCAGTATCACAGCTCGCGACTTTCACAAAGCGCAAGAAGTCGACCACTTAGCTCGAGAACCTCAGGATACCAGTCGGGTTTCTATGGAAGTTCTGTTGAAGTAGATCGTTACAATGACTTTGGTGACCGTGGATCGTCTACTGATTACCCATCTGAGAGATATGTGTATTTTGATGACACAGTCTCGCATTGTGGTAGAGACACAGCGATGTGAGTCATGAAAAATCGGGCGACATTTACATATTGAATTGTTTCTGGATTATTTATTCCTAGAATGAAATCAAAATGTACTACCCTCTGTAAAGAAAAAAGGTGCATGGTCCATTATCAGTCATAACATTTTCAAATTTTTTATGATATTACTAAACTCTTGGAAGCGCATGGCGTAAATATTGTGAATGACTTGTGGAAATTAGAAAAAATTGATGAAAATTTAAAAAAGTTAGCAATGGTTAAATACATTGTCTCACTAACTCACAAATGTGACTTTTTCCATTAAATTACGTCATAAATTAGAATTGACTATTATACAGTATTGTACATTTTCCTGTAAGCCTGGGATATCATTTTCAATATGTTACATTTTCAATATGTTATTTTTAGAAAATTTTACGCCTAAAATATCAATGAAACTAGGGATAGGATCTTACCATTTTACTCAATAAACACATTTATATATCACATCTGACATAAATTCCGGTATGCATACGCTAAGTATAGGATGTATAACATACATGTATTTATGGATCATTGAGAAATATTAAGGGTTATAATTATCTTACAATTTCCAGTTTATTGCAATATATATTACCCCCATCCCTAATTTTGAACTGAAAAGAGACCTCTGAATTTGAAGGTTATTACCTCAAATTCTATCATAAAAATTAATCTGTCATTCATTATATAACTGATATTTTTCACAAAGTTTTATTGGATTGAAGACTTTTTAAAATGGTGTATTCCACATTGCTGGAGTATGGGATTTATTCATGACGTCAGTTTATGGTAAAATATCACACTCACGATTTTGGAAGTTGTTATATTCAATCCTTTCTAACTTTTAACAATCACGGGGTACCATCGAATAATTTTGGCAACGTACCGGAGAACGACATTTTACTAAGAAATGGTAATAATTTAGCACAATATATTTTTTAACTAGAGTTCTATTTTGATTTTGACAAAAGTAACAATATTTCCGAAATTCTATGAAATTTTCTCCATTTGGTCAAAGTATACACACATTATACCCTCTGAATGTTTGGTCTTATAATAATGAAAAATAAAAAAGATATGATTGGTAAAAGAAATTGCACCTTTTTTTCTTTACAGGGGGTATTCAAATTCGAAAACGGTGGAATACTAAATCACGGTAGCCTAGTTCCACCTTATGACCAATATTAGAATAGAAGGGGGGGGGGTCAGTTATCGCAAGGGGCCACTGTTAAATAGGCTATACACTGTGTCCTTAAGGTGACATTTAAGTTAATCAAAATTACAAAAACATGGGAGCCATATTTTTTTGATAAAGTCAGAAGATTTTGTATACTGTTTTCCTTGTATGTGAATGCATTTCCTGACTAAAGAGACACATAAAAGAAAACCTCACATTTAAACGCATTTTTCATAACTATGAATTGGAGGCGCATGGCACCCCAAAGCTCGCATGAAGAGTGTGAAATGAGGCTATTTTTTGAAAGTTTCAAGGAGTAGCCTTGCAACAGTCACACATTTGCAAGAATTCAAAATTTCCAGATATAATCTTACCTTACCAAGGAACAACGAAGGAGCATGAAAATGTGTACTTCTTGCATTGTTAGAGTATAATAAAGCTCAAACCATTGTGAATTCTAAATATTTCATGTCTACCATTTTGTTTCCTGGAACTATTTTTTAGTCCAGAGTTATTCTCATTCATGTATCCATTGTTTATCATTCATAAAGCCTCTATCATGTATCTATCATGATAATTATACTGTAATAGATAAAATATACAGGTGATAATCCATGCCATTTGGTGTAGTCACAAAACTTGTATGAGGATTAATCAGGAAGTCTAGAAGTAGTTCCGGCAAGCAAAATGGTGGACATGAAATATTTAGAATTTACAATGGTTTGAGCTTTATTATACTCTAACAATGCAAGAAGTACACATTTTCATGCTCCTTCGTTGTTCCTGGGAAAGGTAAGATGATTTGTGGAAATTTTAGACTCTTGCAAATGTGTGACTGTTGCAAGGCTACTCCTTGAAACTTTCAAAAATTAGCCTCACTTCGCACTCTTCATGCTAGCTTTGGGATCCATACACCTCCAATTCATAGTTTAGAAAAATGCGTTTATGTGTGATGTTAACTTTGACATGTTTCATTTGTCAAGATATACAATTCATATACAAGGTAAACAGATTTCAAAAACATGTGTCTTTATCAAAAAATATGGCAGTCATTTTTTGTACTTTTTATTTAATTTAGCTTCGCCTTGAGTCTCTTTACAAAGTCTGTATAATGTGAAAAGAGACTTTTTAGACACCCTGTATAATCTGGTACTGCATGACTAGATCTCAAGAGGATCAATCTTCTATGCGTTCGATTTCAGCGGAACATGTACCTCTATGTCAGTTTCTCAGTCACAGCTCCTGGAAAACATATCTGAATTGTTGGACGATGATCCTGATAATGACGACGACCCCGATGGTTCAGACGACGATGATGATCTGGATGATATAAGAGAGAATGATTTTGAGAAAGGAGGCCAATCGGACTCTGCCAGAGGGTAACTATTGCTCATTTACATGTATCAAGCGCATGCATTCTTCTAAGATGCGATACCTTGAGAGACAACGGAGGTTAACTCCCATGACTCCCCTGGAAGATTTCAATATTATAACTTACATAAAAATATATTTCATATACTGGCAATTTGAAGTATCTTCCTCCTCATTATACAATTGTATATAATTGAAGCTAATTTTCTTAAATTAGTCCTAAGCATTACCTTATCTCCTCCGTGTAAAATTATTTCAATAATAAAATGTCATATCTTAGCCACTTCAATGCAAAAAAGTGAGCAAGTGAGCGCATCGTAATATCACTCCGGTGGCAAAAACTTTTAGAAATAATAAAAAGAAATTTACATGTTTTTCTAAATATGCTAAATTTTAATAATCAATTTTTATTATCTTATCAGGTTAAAAGGAAGAATATCTTTGTACCATTGATTTCTATGAGACAAAAAATTTCGAAAATATATTTTTTTTCCTGACTTTCATGGAGGGCGGAATGAGTTCATTTTTCGCTTATTTAACCAACATTCTTAATGTTTCGGCAAACACGTAAGGATGAATGCTATATGCATTGGTGTAAATCATCACTTATTAATAATTAAACGATATGTGACCTCTAAAAGTTAGTTTTAAACTAGGATTTCCTCATCCTAGGTTTTAAATAAATTCATGACTCCTTCGAACAAAAAATCCTTCACATGTCACGCTTTGTGACAGTGGATGAAACTACAACATGATAAACCAAGGTGCGTGATTTTAACTTTAAATGGATGCTGTATACGGCTCATTCCAACTACTCCAAAACGAACCGATTTAACAATGCATACGGTACCGCACGGGCACAATGTAAACACGCTGTAATAGGTCTAAACAATAGCAACCGTTGAAAATAAAGCATTATTCTCTGAAGTAAATGAACTTGATTTATTAGATATATTACCAGTGATGAATCTACACAGACTTTATGGCAAACCTAGGATGAATTCTTTTCTTCATCACAGAGCCTCTAGATCGCATCCCACGACCCCCGGACTACGACGTCAGTAGTCAGGCCTGTTTTGAAACAAAGTTGATTTCAGACTTCAAGAATGGACTTTTAAAATACATTTTACTATAACTGTGTGACTAATTTTGTGTAAAAAGTGTAATCAACTGATTAATTGCATAAGCTTATATTGATCAATTATGTGTCCGACCACATTCTCATCAGTGTGTCCGGGGTACTGATTAAAATAGTTCCAAATAAAATAGTTCTTCCAAAGTAATTTGAAATCAAAGATCACAAATAGTAAACACTGATAGAATCGGGAAATGAACAATAGCAAACTTGTTATAAAATAAAAATGATATCAGACACCACAAATAGGCTTTTAAAACACATAATTACAGTATCTGTGTAATTGTAGGCGGATGGATTCCATTGCATATTCGACTGCTATGGCGCAGTTATTTGGTGGAAGTAGTGCTTGGTCAGGAATCCGCCATGCACAGAAGCAGTTGATCGTCACTCCTGGAGAACGCGATTTACTGAACGATTTATTGGTGAAATACCCAAGCAATATGCCGTCCGAGACGGAAAAACTACCGGACAAAAAGAAGATAAGGCCAAGTTCAGCATCAGCCAACTTACAAACACATTATACGTTCGCAAGTGGACTGTTCGATTATGAAAATCTTCGACCCCAAACAGCTGCTCCTGGGGTCGCTTCTGAACGAGCCCCTCAGGGCCAGCGACCCATTACGCATGGAGGGGCAATTAGGCAACCCACAGAGAAAGCATTGGAAGAGGAAGCAGAGGAATTAGCGGGGGTAAAACGAGAGAGAAGACTCACAATCGGCCCGACTGATGGACTAGCAGAGTCAAAAGAAGCATATCGACCCAGCAACAATGCGAATGTATTTTTCGGCGACGTGCTCAAGAATAAGGTGAGTCATATGATAAATTATATAAGCAATGATCACTTGATCAGTTAATGATGTTTAATCGTGTGTCAGATACACTAGCTTATGGGTTTAACAATGTTGAAAAGTTTGTTGATCGAAAAGTTTAAAAGTAGGTCATACTCAAATTGGATCCATGACACGCCACATATCAATTATTCATTAATTATTTAACTTATGTAAATATTCTTAATGACTGATGTTTAAACAGACATTTAGCTTATTTTGGTCGATTCCTGAACAATTTACATGATTTTGCGATATATCACTGACATATTATGTGATTTGTATTGATTTAAAAAAGTATAGATTTTAAGCACTAGGGTTGTCATGAAATCTGTTGTAGCAACTGTTTAAAAGTACTTTCACTTTCACTGGTACAGTGTTATTTAGCAGCATAGACGTGCTTAACTGAAAGATTAAAAGAAAGTATTTCGAATAACATATTCCCACGGTTGTGGCTTTTTATGTATCCGAATATTCAGTCTCTTAGGATATGCAACAAGAAATAAACATATTTTTGGTCTTTGAATTTTGCAATTCAATGCTCCATACATATTACGTGTACATATGGATATAATACTTCATACTTATTAATTCCATATAGAGATTTCAAGAGAAAGCCCATAAGTCAACATAAGACATTGAGTCTTTGCTAAGTGGTATTATTGAAATGGTATGGTTAATGAATAACCCCTGTATGACATAAAGGCCTGCGTTCTGAAATGACTATTGATTGCCTTTGTTTTTTCCCTCTCACTTTACTACCCATACATCGGTTTTCTTTACCTGTATAATTACATTAGATTGATTCGTTTCCAACGTTGAAATGCTACATACTACAATAAAGCAATAAACATTGATACCGACCAAATTGATACACTTTGTAGAATTTGTTTATGCAAGTAAAAGTCTCCTCAGATTCTGTTTTGATAATTTGATTAAGTCAATATAACCATTAAAAACGAGCAAAGAAATGTGAGGAATGTTTGTCAAAAGTTGTAATATGATGCCACAATGCTGGGTATTTAAGCTGTAAGGACTCCCAGTTGAAATCAATATACCCAAGTGCGTCTATGATAAATGTGTATTTGTTCTCCTCTGTTGATTAAAACATAGAATAGTTACAATGTATTGTTTAGGTTGTAATCTAGACAGACACGGCTATAATGTTCAAAACAACCTATTATTGTACATATAGCCCTATATTGTGAATGGCATTCTCAGGGCTGTCAACTTGGGACCACCTAATATGAGTGACTTCAAAATGTTGGACACCTAAGTCCAAATCTGAACACTTTTGTCCAAATTTTGAACACCTTTGGCCAACTTTTAAACACCTTTGGCCAAAGTTTGAGCACCTTTGCCAAAGTTTGAACACCTCAAATTTTTCGCGCTCGCTACGCTCGCGTTATCGTCAACGGGGGGGGGGGGGGGGGGGGGGGGGGTAGGTACGAAAAATTTCCAATGAACATGCGTCACACATACGGGATTCGCGTGACAAATCCGAACAAATTGCGTTCGTTTTTTTCCGGCGTTCGTATTTTTACCGTATCGTAAACATATTTCGAAAAAATTTCTACAGAAATATTTTTGCTTGACAATTACCAGGTAAAATGCGTATTTTGCGTGACATTTTCTGTCACGCAAAAAAAACTGGCGTGACTTCAAATTCTTCAGCAAATGCGTGACAAATACGCAAATTGCGGGACAGTTGACAGGCCTGCATTCTTAATATACCTGTACACATAGTATACACATTGAATACAAATAGCTGGTGCTTGCAGTTGGTAGTTTTTTGGTGATTTCAGTTGATATTGAATGTCTATGCCTACAGTTGGTACCTATCGTAGTAGTTGGTGCCTACAGTTGGCACTCATAGTTGATACATATTAATTTCAGTTGATATTTTCCTGATATTGATATGAGCTCATAGTTGGTACCTTCACTCAGTGCCTTTAGTTGGTGCCTGAAGTTTGCTCTTATATTTTTTGATTTATACCCTTTTTAGTCACACACATACACATGAAGTGTTTTTATTTTGTATCTTGATCTATTTATATTATTTATAGCATATGTCATTTTAATATATATAAAGACATGGCTAGTAATGCCAGTATGGCACAGCCATTGAAATATTTATAGATAAAAAACAACACTTAGTTGGTACCTCCAGTTAGGGCTTACAGTCAGTACCTTCAGTTTGTACTTATAATTGGTGATTTAAGTTGATGTTCATAGTTGGTGCTTATAGTTGGTACCTCCAGTTATATGGGCTTACAGTCAGTGCCTTCAGTTTGTACTTATAATTAGTGATTTAAGTTGATATTCATAGTTGGTGCTCATAGTTGGTACCTCCAGTTATATGGGCTTACAGTCAGTGCCTTCAGTTTGTATGTATAATTAGTGATTTAAGTTGATATTCATAGTTGGTGCTCATAGTTGGTACCTCTAGTTAGGGCTTATCCACAGTAGATGCCTTCGTATATGACATGCAAAGGACACAGGCAATGCATGTTCATACAACATTTGTGTGAAAGTTATGTTACATTTGGGGAGGGGGGGGGTGAAGTCCATTACAAGATTTTGTGGGGCGGGTCATTCCAAAGTGAAATTAAAAATGTTTTGAGAAACTATCAACTAACTAGATTGTGTAAATAGCTTATTAAAACAAGACTTTATTTTACATAATACAGAGCATCTACAATAAATGTCAATAAAGATAAAATCAAAAACACAAGTGGCAATAATTAAAAACAAGAAATCTACCAGATTTTTAGATTATTTGACCTTTTTCGATAAAGGTGAAATATAAAATGATAGAAAAATATTTTTTTAAATAATGTATTTATGGATACGTTAACAATTACTTTTGAATCAGTTGTCTTCTACTACCAAACCACCCTTTAGTCAGGTCTTAGTCAATCAGTCAATTAATCCTAATATATAGTTACAAACTTTGTTTGAAGTAGAGTTCCATGTTTATAAACCAATGTAGGCAGCTATTGACATGTTGATAGTTAACTATAGTTATTGATCAATTCACTCTGTACATACAAACCTCAGGCAACTTTAAGAGCAACCATTCTCAGAAAATTTTACATTCAACATATCTCTCTCTGGAAATTGAAGCAATTTCAGATTGATAAGTGCTTATACCTACAATTTGTAATTTTGACTCATTTCACCATTGTCCTTGTTGATTTTCCTGAATTTCACTCTTTGATTAAGTTTGTTTTCATAATTCATGGTTATTCTTGTGAGCTCTATTCAGGGGTACTCACTGTTTATTTGTACTCGGAGTTTCATTGTATATTAACGATTTGTACACTTAGTACCCCGACCAGTTTTATCTTTTAAGAATGATGCAAATTAAATATATATAATTAAGTATGTGATTATTATCCCATCGAACGAAGTTCGGAGGGATATAGGGAACGCCTCCGTCCGTCCGTCCGTCCGTCCGTCCGTCCGTCCGTCCGTCCGTCCGTCCGTCCGTCCGTCCGTACGTACGTCCGTACGTACGTCCGTCCGTCCGTCTGTCCGTCCGTCCGGGCAATAACTCAAATACCGTTGGCCCGATTTTGTTCATATTTTGTACACATATACCCTATGGGGGTAGAAGTTCTGCTCGAAAGCCGATTTTCAAAATGGCCGCTCATTTCAAAATGGCGGCCATTTTAGTGACGATTTTACAGTAATTTAGGTGCAATATGTAAAACTGTAATAGCAATATGTTTTAAATGTAAAAAAATTATAAAGGACATTAATAATGGTACAAATGTAGATATTAAAAAGCACATGGCAGCCATCTTGAAAAATGGCGGCCTTTACTCGTCATTTTACGATTTTTGCTGTAACTCAAAAAATAATGGAGCGATTTTGTTCATATTTGGTGTGTGAATACTATAAGCATTACACACTGTCTAAAGACACTTTTGGTAGAAGGCGGCCATTTTTAAAAATGGCCACCATTTTAACGTATTTTACTAGAACTCGAAAAGTAGTGGAGCGATTTTGTTCATATTTGGTATGTGAATACTATAAGCATGGCACACTGCCCTATGACACTTTTGGTAGAAGGCGGCCATTTTGAAAACAATTTTGAAAAATGGCCGCCATTTTAACGTATTTTACTATAACTCGAAAAGTAGTGGAGTGATTTTGTTCATATTTGATATGTGAATACTTTAAGCATGGCACATTGTCTAATGAAACTTTGGGGAGTAGTCGGCCATTTTGAAAAATGGCCACCATTTTTATGTGTGTTATTTTACAAGTACGTGTGCGATTTTTCAAAAATTTTAGAGGTGGCTACTTAAAAGCATATTATTTCTTCTGATGACAACTTGGCTAGTGAGCAACCATTTTGAAAATGGTGGCCTTTCTGGTGTGTAGTTTTATGATATTTGCGCTTCGTTTGTAAAAATGCCAGCCATTTCTGTTCGATGGGATTCGCTACGCTTTGGCGTTGCCGTTGTTCTGGTTAAACTACATTTTATCCATCTATGTAGATCCTTTGTAATGTATATTAGCATGAATCTTAAAACAAACATTTTTGGCCCATTTGTTAGTCCCATTGACCTCCATGTCAAAACCTTTACTAAACTTCTGCCAATTCAAGTGTCATGTGGATTGGACATACATAATCGCCACATGATGCATAGTTCAGGTGATACATAGATTTCATATCGAATTGTATTATTCAATTAATAGTCTGATTTAGACTAATAAGAACATAAATATTTTGATTATCCAATGTGTTATAAAACAGTTCAAGGTGTTACAACTGATGTCCAAAGGCAAAACTCATCCTCTAAGCTGCTATGGTTTAGGTGTTTTGAGATGTACTTCAGTACATTTTTGAGTTAGTCCATTGTAGGGAGATGATTATTATTTAACTTGGTCGTTTTACATTCACCATCTCCTTGATGACATACTTAGGTTTTCTAGTTTCAATTATATGATATACCTTTGGCGGTGGT